TTGGATGAGTTCCAACTTCGTACACAAGGGAACCCGCCAATATTTTCCAGTCAACCTAGAAGCAGTTTTAAATGTTTTGATACGACAGATCGCATCCCCAGGCAACATAAAATTATCACGCAACAGCCAATGACCTTTGCCGACAGGAAATGAGTAATACGAGTCCTTATGAAAGCTGTGCAGACATTGGCTGATTTCCTTTCAAACAACCTTATGTCTGTCGAACAAAAAGTACCTCATGATTTGGCGTCAAAGGTCACAGGTGTCACGTGAGGTGTGAGCAAAAAGAAAGAAAGTTCTCTTCCCTTTTTGGTTGTTCTGTAGCATACCGAATATTAACTGAAATCACAGGACATGAACCGACCTAGTGTTGAACTTTTTTTTATATATCTGTCATTTGTGTCTTTTCTTTTCGTTTAGTAGTTAGGGATTGAAGCAACCAATATCTAAAGGAATAACTACATAGAGCCAATTGTGATGCATAATTGTGTTCTCTCAGCAAGTTTGCACTGCGTAGACTTAAATGAAACTCAAGTACGATGTACGGAAGGGTATGCAAACAACAAATATACAAAATGCATTTCTACAACAATTAGGAATTCAAGTCCCATTTCAGTTGATGACGGTATGATTGTTCAAGTGATGTATAAACAAAATGATCGATCAATTTTAATCGATTTTTAACCCGACTTTAATCGATTGATACACGGTTTGAACATTTGTAGGTGTAAAAAATGTGCGAATTTCTTGGTGTCGATTCTGTAATATCCGGCTTTGATTGTCCCTACACCTGTCGCGTTCAATCTGGCCTTAAGTTGTTTAAAACTTCCGCTGAATGAGCCTTATAATCCAGGCAAGGACGCAACCACCCCATCCCCGCCCACTGAGTGGATTTGGGGGCTAATCTTACCGCCTGTGCACTCCCAGTCACGTGCCAGTGGGATCCCGAACACGCCCCCGTAAGGGTCTCTGCTCCTAGCAATGGCGGCCCCAGGAAACCCAAGCTGCCGGCACACCACCATGGCGTCGTCAATGCCCCAGCTGGCGTCGCAGGTCGAGTACCAGCCACGGAAGCCCAGGTAGAACTCCACGCGGCCCGCGTTGGGCGTGGGCCCGTCGGCCAGACGAAGATCTGCGGTGAACCAGCGAAAGATCTGCAATTAAATCATTATTGCGTGACCGCTCACCACGGACAGGTGTCATGCGCCATGTTTGGAGTCCCAGACAAACTTTTAGCCTGTCCGGGAAAAAAAGGAAAACTTGGGTCGCTGCTCGCTTGCAAGCGCCCTGAAGCAAAAAAGGGGACAGAGTTTGATGCTTTATAAAATGTAGCTGTCGCTTTTCGATTGACAATTCCGATTGGGAATTCGGTCGTGATTTTACGTGCGCACCGACTTTTAAAACCAATTTCTATGCGCGAAATAAAATCATTAATACAAAATACACTTTTTGAGATGCAAATTACATTTTAATTTGCAAATTGAAACAATTTGTCGGATCTTTATACAGGTTTGTCTTTACATTTAACCGTGTTTAAAATTTCAAAAACCTGCGAAATATATAAGCTGCAGATCGTTAAACCTTGACATCAAATCGAGGTTGGCATATCCGGAATACACACTCTGTACTCTTGCCAAAAATGTTTTATTTCTGTTTCTATCTCGTGTTAGCGTTTCTATTTTGGCTACCATATCTCAGATGCAACTTCCTAAGAAGTTATTAGTGAATTTCCTTCAAGTGCCATGAGAAAAGAACGCTCACGAGTCAAGCCCAAAAAGGTCACGTGGATGACACGTGATACCTTCTCCCCTTGTTCAGGAGGAGAGGAGTTTTGTAATGTGTTAAACATTATACATACAAGCACCCTTTTAGGAATGTGAAACCTATTTTCAAAACAGAGCTGAAGTATTTTCTATGTTTGATAAAATCGGATATTTCGAAAGACCCAAAACGCAATCTGTTCAAAAACATGGCGACGAAACTTTGTCAATGGAATAAAATAAACAACAAACAAACCCTCATCCTCATCCTAAATAATATAGTCTTATGAACTTAATGCTCAACCAAACTGGTTACAGTTTCGATTCAAATCGAATAATGCTCTAAACATTTTGCCCCTCGATGTACTGGGACTGTGGCCGTGTCTATAGACGTATTAACAACTCACCAGTAAGTTAGCTGGCATATCGCGGCTTTACAATAACGCGGTAAATTGGGGCCTATAACTCTGACATAACAACCGATCGCGTGGAAGGACTTTCTCTAAATTTGGATTTGGCTGAGCCCCAGCAATTTGCCACCGTCTTGAGATAAACGAGGATGAGGTCTTCAGCCAGGCATCTCCGGCGGGGACGATGCGTCATTTTCACCGGCAAGGAGCCAAGACGAAGAAAGGGTAAGAGACTTAGTAGAAGTCGGTGAACTTGAATCCTACCGCCCACGGGCGAGCACGAATCAAATCCACTCATACGAATAGCGACTCCAAATAACTCGGGATTCGAGACCGAACAAGAACCGTTTCTCGGGCAAGTGTTGCTTAACGTCTTCCCCACAGATGATAAAAAAAATCAGTGCACTCTTCTGGGCAACAGAGTCTTTCAAAAAGAAATGGATAAAATTTGTGAGGCTGAGAGAGATATTTCCTAGATATTCAAAAACAATTTACTTGGCACTGGTTGAGGCTTGTCACCAAGTTTTTTTTAGCGGTTGGGGATAGGGAAGGTTGTGTTTTGTCTTCTAAAAAGATTGCTCGTCATGGCAACGAGACAGACATTTACGTAAATTTTTCAATTCGTGTTGATCGAATGGGGCGGGGGGGGGGACGGGGCCTGCTAGACTTTTTCGGAATTGATGGGTTTGAATCTCCGAATGAATACCCTTGGGTAATTCTCTTGCAACTGTGTGCTTTTACAAAGTAAAAATCTCGAGAAAAAAAATGACATGGAGAACTAAAGCTGCATCGAGTAGATTGGTAGTACTTACCATATCTTTTGAAGATAGAGTAAGAAAACCCACAACCAGCGAAACTCAATCCAGAACAGTTAAAAGTCGGAAAAAATGTTTTGAAATAACCTCACAAAAGAAAAGATTTCGATGCTTACCTCCAATTTTCTGTGTCCTAGCAATCAAAAAGTGTCTAGCACTAAAGACCAGCGCCATCCAGACGAGCACCGACCACCATATATCCATCCTTGGCCCGGCCCGGCCCGGCCGTACTAAAAAAGAACAACCTCAACTTTCTCCCTGGTCGGAAGAAAAAATAACTTGGATCTCCGGCGATCACAGAAACCTCAAGAGTAGACAAAATCCACTCGGAATACGCATGGTGCTTTGCCAAACCGCTGCTATAACTTGAGTGGAAAGATCCCGGGGAGTTTGGGTTAGTACAGACTCTCCTTGATTTGAAAAGCACCTGTTTTGCCAACAGATTGCGAGTTTGATTTTCAGCCTTGTAAAACAGAGCAGATACCGTTCGCATATCCTATCTGAGTGTATCGCTCATTGGTTCTGCTATGACTGTCATCATCTGTGGCTAAATATATTTTGTGGCGCAGTTGGCCGTTGCGTCCTACAACATCCGCCCAGGCCAATTGTGTTTTATTCAGCGGTTCCTGTCCACTTTGAGTAAGTCATTCAAACGCGGTAAGTTTAACACTCAGGCCGGGTTCACACTTACAGCAAGGAAGGGGATGGTTCACACGACATACATGTATGTAATTATAGCCTCGATAGGTATTATAGTCTCGAATCGAGTCTCATATTTCCACTTCCACGCACGCGTCTGCAGTGCAACCTGCCTCTACGCAGTGCAGATATACGAACTGCGCCCACGACTGTTGACAGCCACGTCTTACACAGCAGCTTCTAGACGTGTGACGTCACACTTTTAAGACTTGTGTTTTACGCGCAAATGCCTCCAAATAATAGAAAAAAAAAAGATCCAGTTTTAATTTATGTGTCATCTGAATATATGTGATCATTTTGTGATGATAATTATTTGGTTAACTATGTACTCAAGTTGCCTCGTTCTGTGTCAGTAAGGAAATACTTTAATTGGTGGACATTTGTGGCCAAGATCAGCTTGTTTAGACATTCCTGAGCCAAGTTCCCACTCCATGGAGATTACGAGGAACATTACGGGGCTTTCGGTTGAAAAATACCACGCGTGCCTCGCAGGCAAACAAGTACAGGCCTATGATACCGATAAAAGTCAGTCTAAATAAAATGGTAATTCAATTAAAATCAGAGCTGGGCTTGCAACAGCTGCGCAGAATAATTGACCGGCATTGTATTCCAGCGCCCTCTGTTGACACAAAACAGCCGATTCATTAGCAATCCAAACCGAGGCTAGAAATAGCAGATAATAAATAACTGACAGCAATTTCGTCGGCAGTAATGCAACACTTCGGTCACAATATTTTTTTTATTTTCAACACAGTTGTTAAACATTATACGAAATTTGTACAGCTTTTAAAAAAATCACGCATTTTTACACTCCATTCTTACTCCATTTAACTTAATTTTGTATGTCACAAAATCAGCGAACTAAGTTTGAGTTTTATATGTTCTGAATTTTGATGAGCTTTTAATGTGAAAATGTACTCATAGTTAACTAGAAAAATCTAAACAAAAATATAAATGTTTCCCATTAACCTAAAGTGGTTTCTATTGATAAACACTGATAGGCAAAACTTTGAAAAGTATTTTTTTAATCGGGAGAATTGTCATGATTTTACTTCTTTTTGTTTTGCCCGTAACATATTATGACCTTTGTATATGAAGCCACTTCATGCACCGATCCAGTAAGCCCCTCCCACTGCGCACGTGGGCAAATTAACACGTGCTCCTCTCCAATGCCACACTGCATTTTCCTGCCGCGCGCATCATACGCGCGTGCACGCATGTCGGACTTTTGTGCACGCATGTGGGACATAAATCACGGCTGTGATTGGTCAGAATACCATGGGGCGGTGCTTACTGGATCGGTCCATTGTTGGATGGTGGTGGTGACGGTGGTAGTGGAGAAATGGTGTTTGTGGTGATTAAGCTAGCTGTGGTGATTGTGGTGATGGCAGGTCTTCTATTGTGGTGAAAGTATAGTTAACGATCAACGTGATGGCGACGCCGACGAATGTGACAAATATCTAGACGTTAATACCGACGACGAAGACGATGACAATGACAATGACGATGACGATGACGATGAAGATAAGGATTCTTTTCCATGGGTTGTGCTGTACTTTTTCAAAAAAAACCCCTTCATTTGAGGAGGGACAATAGTTTATTAGAATCGTCCAACGCCGAAAACATGGCTTCCCTGAATTGTTACACGGGTCAAAAATAGTTGCAACAAAGGACGATCATTGACAAAAAAGTACGGTACCGAAAAAGGGTGATTCATAGAAGTCAACGTTCTGCCAAAAAAAATCAACATCATCGAATTGAAAGCAAAACTAGAAATGGTAGTTAAAAGCTTGAAGGTAATGAAAGGATTCTTAAACTTGTTTTAATGCACTGTTGACAAGTTCCAGTCGTTGGAAACTTAGCAAACACAACAGTGATTGTATAGAAATGATGGCGAGAGTCGTGGTCGTGGTGAAGGTCGCAGTGGTGATTGGTGGTGACAGGGCTTGCCGTGGCGATAGTTGCGGTGATGATGATGGTGGTGACACGGTGATTGAGATGAATTTGATGATCCACGACAAACGACGACACTGACAATTTGTGACAAAACACAAAGTTCGTGATAAGGGCAATGCCAATTAAGACCACGTACACACTGCTGATTTTCCAACCATGTATGGGATCATTCCCTCTAAAAATACCAACTATGCGTAGTAGGATAGTTTGCTGAGATGGCTCGCACCCCGGTTCAGCTCCACCTTAGCGTAACTGGTGTACTCCCTCTCTGCTTCGCTGGGGACCACAAACAGATGCCCCTGACCGAAAGAATGGGCCTCCTCGTACCCCTCGTCCACCCCGGACCCATTGGTAGCTCCTGAGCCAGCCCCGTAGAAATTTTGCTCCAGTTCGATCTCTTCCATGAGAGGGCGCTGTTGCGACCGACCACGTGACATCCCGGGCCGGAATAAGGTCTGGTAGAGGCCCTCAGGCGGCCCAGGCCGGCCAGCCTCTCGAGGGATGACGGTGCTGTAGTAGTGGTTGGCGTGGTCTCCACCCAAGCCGCTGTAGTGGTTGTCGACGGCTGTTGACTCGTTACGCACGTCCAGGAAGCTGCTCCGCGGCAAGGGTGAAAACATCGAGTCGTCGACGACGCCTGGAGGGAAGTCTTCATCCTCAAGAACCGCTGGTGTGTTGGCGAGGGCTAAAGACGCCTTGTAACGTTCCAAGTGTCTTAGGAAAACCGAGTGAAGACACAAGAAGCATGCGTTTAGAACCACTAGCACAAACCCAACCCAACCTAAATTAAACTTTCAAACTATTCTGTACGAAACCATGGCTGTGCACACTCGAGGTGCTCAATCATATTTCCTGATAAATAAAACCGTTGGACGAAATTCATTAATAATTGGGATAAACATTGCAGACGAGCTTTTCTTTTAAAGAAAAAAAACGACACTTACGTACCTTTGATCCTTTCTGCACGAGTAACACCAGCAGATTGATATCAGGAGCACAATCAACAGAATAAGACCCAACACGCAGCTAACGATAACTGAAAACATAAATGGTCGAAAAGACATGTTTTTATCAGTCTTCAAATTCTAAGTTGACTTGAGTAAATTCAATCCGATCCATCACCTAGCTTTTATTGGCTATTCCGGATTGAGCATAATATTTTGACAAAATCAAAGTTGTAATAATTGTTGCGTGTCGATTTTTTTAGAGGGATCTTGCTCACGTACGGGGATCGCTCATATATGATTAATGTTTTTTAATTTTAGAAACAACTCTAGTTCTGGTCAAGTTTATCTCCAATACACGTAATTGTTCATCGTACCATTCGTTTTTTTAATATCATTGTAATGTCCTCTCTTTTTATTGTTCAGTATGTGCAACTTTTTCATGTTTTATTGATTTGACCGCAATTCAGCTTTTGGCTGCTACTGTTGAATGAAAATGAACCATTTTCAAATTCCAATTCAAATTCTTCCGATATTCTATACGCTTTCGCATTCCTCGGAGAAGTACGCAAAATAAAGTGATGTTGAACACTTTTAAAAGTCATTAATGCCCCTTAGGGTTTTGTCTATCAGTACTTACTGATTATTAGCAATTCGGAGGACCCCATGACACTTCCACTATTTCCCTCACCTGAAAGAAAGTTAAACAAATCAATCCTTATTTCATTTTGTTTCACAATATGAAAAAAACCAATCCTATAGGTTAATAGTCAAATTCGGTTTTCATGTGACTTCTGACATTTTGGCATTTATTTGGAACACGTGTTTGTTGTACATTGTGATTTTCTTTGGGTGTTACAATCAACAACTCAAGTAATAATTTTTCCATGACTTTATATTCACCAGCATCTGTAGAAACCACCGTCGTAGCATCCACTGATGTCGAACTGATTCCATTCGTTGTCCGAGAAGTGGGCACAGACGTGGTTGATATTTTCCCGGTCGCCACTGATCCACTAGGTGTGGTGGGATCGGCGATTTGTTCTGTTGATGAGGGCAGAGACGTAGCTTGTGGAAGAGTTGTGGAAAGTGGAGTTGTGGACTCCACAGGTGCTGCTGTCTCTTGTTCACGTGCTGTTGATCCCCTACGTGTGGTGGAATCAGCAATGCGTTCTGTTGATGAAGGCAGAGAAGTAGCTTGTTGTAGAGTTGTGGAGAACGTGGACTTTACGGGTGGTGTTGTCTGTAGTAGTTCAGGTGTTGATGATCCACTAAGTGTGGTGAAACCAGCGAGGTCTGTGGACGAGGGCAGTGACGTAGCTTGTGGTGGACTCATTGTAGTCGACTCTGCAGATGTTGATCGAGCTTGTGGAATTGTAGTGGATTGTGTGGATACAGGGTTTGTAAACGTTGTAAGAATTGTCGTGGCAATATTTTGGGTTGTTGGATTTTGAGACAGTTTAGTTGTTGACAAAGTCGATGCCCCTAGAGTTGTTGCGCCAGCACTCTCTGGTGTTGTAGCAGTGTCTGAATCGTCTACTTTTGTTGTTAGCTGAGGAGTAGTAAACCCTGCCGATGTCGTCGTCTGAGTGGTAACAGGCTGAGTGGATGTAGAAGCAATGTCGGTGGTGACGTCACTTGGAGTCGTTAGATATTCAGAGGTAATTTCTACCATTTCTGGGGAAGAAAGAGGGGCATGAATAACCGTTAATGATATACCTGTGACGTCATACCAACAGGCAAGACAAACAGTTAATTATCTTTCTGATATCATTTTGCCCACATTAAACTGCTAACAGTAAACGTCAATACTTTCAAACGAATCATATTATCAAGAGCTACACTGCAGTTCAAAATAGATTGACGTACAAAATCAACCACAAAATCTAATGTTGTAAATAAGAAGTCCCTCCGTTATCGAGATAAAAAAATCACCAAGAGAGTCGTCTCCATTGGGTAAAAAAACATATACAAATAATGAATGTTTATGAATGCAATGGTAAAATAACTTAATGAGGTGACAGATGGGCTGTTCCATTCCACGAGGCGAATGGAACATTCCATCTGTCACCAAAGGAAATGATTCTTTCCACTGCACGAATGTGAAACATTCATTATTTATTTTATACAACACCTGAATAAATCCTTGTCATCTGATTGGTCAGAGCCACCAATAGTGTGACCGTGCAATAGAACTTCTATTTACCGTGGAATAGAACTTCTATTTTTGCGGTGCGGCCGGGCCGTGGGTTGGGATGAATAATTCAGTATCGACCCACCAATCAGATGACGGGGATTTAATCAGGAGTTGTACAAAGGGCGCCACCATACCAAAGAACAAACGGTGCAATATGCGATTGTTCTATAAGAGAGTGCTAACGAAATATTTAATTCCTTCAGTTGGTCCCATTTAATTGCACAAAAAGTCCTCTCTTTGAAATAGCTGTGGGGAAAGAGGGAGGGGTTGCTGGATTTCCGAAGGGCACGGCGCAGGACTCACCGATGCACGTGAAGTTAAGAGAAGTCCAAGTTCCGTTGCTTGAGCACACAATGACCGGCTCACCCTCCATCTGATATCCTTCCGCGCAGGACAAGACGGCGACGCCTCGGTACTCGTGCGAGAGCACGGTGACGTTACCGTTCGCTAACGCCGTTGGTTCGCCGCACGAGATGACTGATCGGACAGAAAATAAACAGTTCCACATCACGTAAATGAGAAGTAAACGAAAGATATTGGTTAATTCGGTTTGGCATTAGGCCAAACTAAATTGCTGCAGTCATTTTGTGCGAGCCTTTATTTTAAAGTCATGGAGAAAACACGTGACTATACATGTACATGTAAGTACATTTAATGAACCATTTATCTGAAAAGACCGTTTAGCCTCAATCTTTAAACAACAAAAAATAATTGTGCCGTTGAGCTTGCTTACTGTTGCACGTCGTTTCCTGGCCACTCCAGGACCCATTCGACAGACATTCCCTGGACACGGAGCCTAGGAGCTCATATCCCTCATCGCACGTAAATTGAACCACGTCACTGGTGTTGAAACTGCCACCTACATCGATCCCAGAACGCACGCCGTGCAGTGGCACGCCTGGGTCTCCACAAGTTGTTATATTTAGTGCATCTGAAAATATTTTTAAGGAGAGATAATAGCAGTCAGGAAATATGGCCTTTTTCTACAGTGTCTGTTGTTTTAAAAGTAATCTAACTATCCAAAGAGAAGATCGGCAGTACATTTTTTTCTGAAAATGGAATCATCGTACACAAAATGGTAATTATAGTGACCAACAAACAAATCGAGATATTGAACGGCAATGTGACGAAGTAGGGCAGGCAATGCGACGAGACCGGACCGGCATTTTGACGGCACTGAATCAATAAAAACAAAATGAATAAATTGTAATGCTTAAGTTGCGCTTTTCCATCGCATCAACAATATCAAAGCGCTCTACAGTTATTCGCCCATTCATCAGGCCACATTCTGGAGAGAGGTAATTGTAGTTAAGTGTCTTGCCCAAGGGCACAAACACCACGTTCCTGGCAGGGTTCGAACCCACGCACCATCGTATACGAGTCAAACACCGTAACCACTGGACCCTGGCATTCTACATAAACTATAGGCCTACGAGTCGGCAATGTGACGACAATGAATCGGCAGCGTGACGACAGTGAACCAGTATTGTGACGACACTGAATTGAGCCAACCTTGTGAAAACCTCCAACCGTCACAGAGCCGGCAATATGACAAGACACATTTGCCAAAGAGATGACATTAAAATTGGTGAAATTGCAACCTAAGATCAAATCATACAATGTACATGTCCTAGATAGATATATTGGTCATGTGAATCTGTGCGGGAAAAAAACATGATCCTACCCGTACGACAGATGTAATGTCTCTGTTCATCGCAAGGTACGCGTTGCCAGCTGCTCAATTCTCGAGGATTATTCAGATTGATCTGAATACACTTTTCCTTGTCAGGATCCCAGTTATTAGACTGGTCAGTAGCCCAAAACGTGTCAGTTACCAATTCACCTATTTTTAAACAAAAAAGAAATAATGATTATTTCACGTGTAATGACTGTAGTAACTGTTACTTTTAATACCAGAAACTAAGAGCTGATAGTAACATTATCCAGGAGACCTGGTTTTAAAGAATCTTCATGATGGTAGGGTAAAGAGGGCTACATGTGCTTATGGGAGGTTCGACTTAACGCGAGAAATTCAAAGAAAAATATACGATCACCTTAACGGGAATTATGGTAAACTGGGCAGGGATTTGTTGGGTAGGTATACGGGCGGCGGTTTATTTTGTCAGGTAAAGTGACTGTCGTCACTTCAAGAGGGAGGGGCAATAGTATTGGGTCATAATGGACAGATCCAGTAAGCCCCGCCCACTGCGCACCGGGCAAATTAACACGTGCTCCTCTCCAAAGCCGCCCTACATTTTCCTGCCGCGCGCATCATACGCGCGTGCACGCACGTCGGACATAAATCACGGCTATGATTGGTAAAAACATCATGGGGCGGTGCTTACTGGATCGGTCCATTACATTGACATAATGAGGGCACTGCAACGTCATTTTGGGAATACAAGCATAAACTACAGACGATTATCCAAGGTTACATTGTTACGACCTTTTACATTCAGATTCAACTTAAGTTGGCTTCAACCAACGTGTTATATTCTCTGTGCTAAGAAAATAGCGTCGCTGAAGGACCAAAATTCAATTTAATAAATGCCTATTGGCAAGTTTGTGGCAGATTGTTTTGATATCCACGTTCAGGGGCCATTACACTTGGAATATAGCTGTTTATTGTTGTAATCGCTGTGTCTACTAAAGACTCACCGTCCGTCCACCTCCACACTCGAGATCCATTGGCCTTCCCGCCTATCCACCAGTGCGCAAGTGTGGTGCTGAATTCGGTGGTTATGGTTTCATTGAGAAACTCCTGCATCTCCTGGTCCAGTATCTCCACCAGCCAACCACCTGTGTACGCGCAAGTGTCTTTGGCAGTATTCCAGTTTTGCTGAGTTTGATTGAACTGCAAGCACTGCCCTTTATAAATCTTATAGTCGTCTGGAAGCGTGTTGTTGGGACAGTGTAACTCTGTAAGACCATGGAGGAATAGACAAAAATAAAGAGGGTTGATAAAATTGTCACATTTTGACATGCGATTGATTATGATATATTTGTGATTGGCGAATAATTGACTTGTGATTGACTTGTGAGTAACAAGTGATGGACCTGTGATTAATTTCAGGTTGGCAAGTGATAAACTCGCGACCGAGCTGTGATCACTCGTAATTTGCCAGTGATTAACTTCTGGCTGAGTTGCAACGGACATGGGATCGACTTGTGACTGAGTTATGATGTACTTGACATTGATAAGAGATTGACTTACGATTTACGTGTTTTGAACTTGTGATTGACTTGTGATTGACTTGCGATCGACTATTGTGAACCCCTTGTGAACCCCTTTGATTGACTATTGATTGCGAATGATTGACTACAACTATGATTTTTACCAGACGGGAATCACTTACCATACTGACATATTGCGTAGAATGGTATGTCACCGTCCTCTTGATTATCACACCCGTTGTCATTCCACCTGTAATCTTTGTGTCCAGGCAAGGCGCTTAGATGAATACAGTCCTCCGAGTCGAGGTCGTTCGGTTCTCCCTCAGCCCAGGGTAAGTACTCAATCGGTGTCTGACCTGCGTATTTGAACCAGTAACGTCTCAACAAAATAATGAACCAAACTGCACATTTGCACATTTGACGGTTATCACATCGCGGTAAACAGGACAGATGAAGGTACACATTGTATACATGGATAGGCAATTGTATGCGAATCTACAATCTGCATATTTAGCTCCGGGATAACAGCTAAAAAAAAATCATCATTTTATAGTCCTTAGGCCAAAAAAAAAGTCTCCGGTTTCTGGTATGCGCACGCGTCGCCGGTAGCCATGCGCGTCGGCAAAATGAAAAAGTGATTTTTTTTCAATAAAAGATGATGTCTCAAAACCGCCAAACTCACTGGTTCGACTGGAATCCTGCTGCTGCACAATTTCAACGTGTTTTAGATGGGGTTAAGATCGAGAATAAGCTTTATGTGGACTCTCTGGACTCCCATATAATTATTTGCACTAAGTTTAGTCGGGCACCATTTGCAGTCATCAGCCGACATTTGAAGCAAAAAAAAACAGGTAACAAAAGAGAAAGCCCGTCGCCGCACCACTTTTTGGGCAAGCTCCATACCAGAAACCGGAGACTTTTTTGGCCTTAGTTAATAACAAACGTTGACATTGTCTATTGCTCCTACATATTTTGACCGATTTCAACCAAACTTCGTCAAACGTATCAGTAGCCCAGCCCCAACATGTCAGATAACCAAACTGGGGTCAAAGGTCACCATGGCACACTGGGGTGGCAGTCATTAAAGTCAGTCAGTTGAGATAGGTGCCAACCAGGCCGGCCCTCTAGGACCTGGACAAATAGTGTCCATGTGGTGAGGTAGCTTTCGGAATCTGACGCTTCTCCAATTTCGGTAGTAACCTCTAAGTTTTCATGCGAAAAAACAAAACAATAACACGTTTTCCAGAAAAAAAGACATGTACTCACTTTCCTGCCAAACCCAATTCCTGTCCTCTTTGCCGCCAATCCAGTGTTCCCTGCGTTCTTTCACAGTGTCGACTAGGAACGTCTGCTCTTCGATGTTGTCGACCTTGGCCAGCGACCAGCCATTCGCTTCACAACCCAATTTAGCTTGACTCCATTTAATACCATTGTTCACTGGGATGAAGCAACTATCCGTGTTATAACGATGACCACCGGACGGGCAGGCTGATTTCGCGACATGAAGAGAAAATGATAATACACTGTACATCATCACATGCCAATCATAATGCCGTTGCACACTAAGTTGGATGGAATCTGTCAGCATAGGCCTAGGTGACGTACTTTGGGTCCAATTTTTAGGGAGAGCAATTAAGAGGGATGGAGCATATATTTTCTGGAGGGGCGTTCAATGGGTTTTTAATACAACTCATTTTTGCATTCTCCCGAACCCTGGGGTAGCACATGGGGCTACAAGGTTTCTAGGGGGGGGGGGCAGTGTCCCCCAGTTACACCACTGATTATCAGCGGTAAATTTCTCGTTTAATATAGTGTTTTCACCCCATCTTAGATTAAATCGACAATGATACCCTGCCTTTGAAATAAAATTCGTAAACTCTATTCCTCTTGTTCTACCAAAACAATTATCAACACGGGGAGCGTATGGACATTTTCAATAAGTGGCGACGCGAAGGGTTCTGTTTGTTCCAAAGGAAAAACAAAATTTTAGACTACTACTCACGAAGGCAGCTGAAGCCTGTTCCCGACCATGTCCCACCAGCTTGGCATTCCCGCGAATAATCGCCCTTTTCTTCAAATCCTTCCCGGCACGAGTACGTGACGGTCTCCCCCATGACGTAGCTATTCTGAACGGGGCTAATGAAGCCGCCAGAGGGCGCCTCGGGCGATGAACACTGGATTGCTACAAGAAAAAAGAAAGAAAATGCATCAAAAAGTGAATCTGTTGATTGCACACCTTACACAATGAAGCAGAACTGCGTAGCACCTGAGATAACTTGTTTAGGATGAAACTATTTTCAAGCAGTGCTCACCAGGAATATTGGAGCAGAATTTTCGGCCCGACTAGATGAAGCTCCTGGCTCTGATGAAGACCTAGTCAGGCCGAAAATTCAGCCCAAATATTCTTGGTGAGCACTGCTTTCACTTATTTTTATCCTATGTAATTGCATACCTTGACACAAAAGTGTTCTAATGACGAGACTTACACAGCCAGGGTTACGTCTAAAGTAGCAGCACTGAGAGTTAATATTTTGTCTATTTTAGACGTCTGTATCCTCTGGATAAAAATTAGTTTGCTTTTGCGCACACACAGATCCGGATCCGCCCTGCAAATGGAGTGGTTCCTGGTTCTGATAGGGAGTGGAAACCAGTCTATCATGTGAGAACCGAGTTACCATAAGGCCGCAAATATTTCGAACTTTGTGAAGCACTTATTCCGTAACTATAAACACGAGGTGTGAAAAAAAACCCGATGTACCTGTGCAGTTTGGAGTTGTCTCGCCCCAGCCCTGGCCCGTTTCCACGCAGACAGCTACTGACGCGGGTCCCTGAAGCTCGTAGCCCGGCAAGCACTCACAGACCACGTACTCCAAGCCGTTGGTCTGGGTCGTGCTGCAACTCACATCGGCGAAGGACTCGGTGGAGTTACATGGCACCGCTGCTTGGAAGGAACACATATTATTAAAGAGGGATGATTAGTAGAGTTTTCGAAGCAGAAAACCGGAAAATTAAAGACAGTATAAACAGAAATCTTTTTGGTATAAAATCCATTCTCAATTGAAAGGAGACACTAATAAATCAATCCGCACTCGTTACCACTAACACAACCAGTTAATACGACTTAAGTAGCTTGTGACAATGGCACAGGTGGATCGGGATTGGGGTATGTGCCCTCGCATGAGGACTTAGCCCCGCCCCTCCCCTTCAAATTTGGGGAAGGCATAAAAGAGCTCTGTATTAAAAAGCCATAGAATGCCCCTTTAAAAAAAATAGCCTTCTAACTCCCCCGGCCCCCTGCAATAGGCCTATGTATGCTTTAGTTATGTCATTGCTGTGGCAAGCATTTATAAATAATTGCATAAAGCTGGTGGTTTCTAAAACAATGTTCCAACTTACCTTGAGTTGCAGCAATCAGTGCGAAGAAGAGAAACACGGCGAGAAACTGGCGGTGGATGCATCCATCCATTGTGAGCCTTTGATGACGAAGTTACCAAAAACGACGTGCTATGGCAGCGCAATAGGCAACCTAGCTTTGAAACTCAGCACTTGGCGCAATATCGTATACAGCGCGTATGGCTTCGCAACTTGGCAAGATAAGGCGCGGCTTTTCCGACGCTATAGACATATTTCGCTCTCCTCAGGACGAGAGAAGCCAATCGATCCAAGGAAATGTCACCGTCAGTTGTTTTTCCCTTTAAGCGTCCAATTTTATTTCCAAGTGCCAAATTAATCAGGGAAAAAAGTGAGAATAGTTCAAGACTACTGGATGTGAAGTGGAGTTGACGGCAGCGATAAAACCAGACAACACTAGCTCATGGTTTTACCTCCTGATAATGTGAGGCTTTGTAAGTCAACACCATGATTTTTTTCAGCTTAAGGTAAATCAGCACCGGTGTTTAAATTGTTACCGATAGATGGACGATAAGGCCGATATAGACAGCGAAAATAAAGTAATTGTCCCCCCTCCCCCTTACGGTATTTGATCGCGAGGCCCTGTCTGTTTTATTTGTCGTTGATAAATGTCTCCGTTGCCTAGCACCGGCCACCGATTTACCTCAGATTAGAGAAATTATAACTGTTTGGCCTTTTTATTTACCTTTTCTAATCTTGATACAACTGAGCGTGCGCAGTGAGTACGCATTTTGGTATAATATATTTCGTAGCGCTGTTATACATTGTTCGCAGCATTAGTAATATCCCATTTTACTTGATTTGATCAAATGTTAAGCTAAGTTACTCTGGTATTAATGTCGCAAATATTGTCGTGCAAGTCTCATAGCCGACAGTTCTCAAGGTTTTTTTGGGGAGAAAAGAGTATGTGTGCGACAGGAATAAAAAGGTTGTACTTTTTTTCTGAGGCATCGACTCCTCGAGTAATGGTGTCGTCGCTTTTCACAAAACTTTACAGATCATTTTTTTCACTATTGATAAAATCATATATTGACGTATAACAAAGCCGTCAATTACCAGCGATGCATACTTCTTTTACGATTTATTACTGGTATTTATTACTGCATGCGTTCCGGAGATCTATGGCAGAGAAGGTTAAATCTCGTTGGTAATCTCGACACAGATGTAATTTTGCACTCGTGACGGTAGAGCCTCTAGTAAAGGAATGCTTTTGCCGTTAGACCTACTTTGGGCCTTGGGATTGGAATATAAGGATATGATGCTTTATAGGATGGAGTCAGTTATTAGGACACATTATGATGGCCTTGTCCCAAACCTCCATTTAAACCCCCAGTATATCTTATTCTCGACAAACAATAATTGTAGATAACTTCATCTGAATGTTACGTAAAGCGCAATCAGTGCTGTTCTATTTGCATTTACTCGCCACAGCTATCGCTCGTTTTTTCCCCACAACTCGAACACTGTTATTTTCGTTTCTGCCCAATAGTAGCAAGAATTGGGTTTGGACCCTGGGTTGAAATTTAGGCAAACAGCGACAATTCTGCCTGGATGGTTCTTTGTCGCCAGAAAAAGAAGGTGGGGGAAGAAGAAGGGATTTTTCATAGAAAAATTAAAATTGTGGTCCCATGTAATACGAGTACCGAACGGACGATAATCATACAAAATGGACGCAGCCATCAGGGACAGCAACAGTTCACCCTTTTTGGGGAGGGGCGTGGGGAAGAATGTAGGACGAACTTATACCCAATTATATTAACCCTCGTGTCACGATTTAAAAAAAAATCGCATGTCAGCAGCACTGTCTATATACCGAATGTTCTCACTAAGATGTAGCTAACAGTAACATCGAAAGTCTCGAAGATAGCAAAATGGAATTGAGGCGTTTGGCAAAATTGGAAAAAAAGTCGAATGTTCCAGCTTTCAAGGACAATACCTGAAAAGAACACAATCTGTTTGGAAAGGACGAAAGGACAGATATCTAATCTTAATACAGTCGAACCCTGATAATACAGTCGAACCCTGATAAGAAGAGCGCTGTTAATACAAGGTATACTGCTTATAACAAGCAAAATTTTAGGTCCCAAGTCTTTGTTTTTCTTTGTTTTCCCATTACTGTTAATACAAGGTACCTGTTATAACAAGGTAATTCCTAAAGTCCCAAGGACCTTGTTATAAAGGTGTTCGAATGTACTGATGTTATTGATAACACAGACATAGTTTAAATAACATCAGTGATCTTTGTACATTAGGTGACTTATACAATGTACAATCATGACTATGGGGTGATCTTGACTGGAGCAAGCTTTGCTCTTATCTCGCTCTTATTAAGCTTTTGAATCAATAATGTTTTATAAGAAGAGCAAAATCGGGACAGGATTATCCGCTGACCCACTTTTCAGTCGCCTTGATCGTTGCCCAATCGTAAAAACGCATGCGCAAACCGGCTGGTAACCGTGGGTTCGAGCCTCGGAACTGAGGGCGCTATTTACGCGTACAGGTTGATTAACTTTTAAAAGTTTAAAGGTGAGGGCGGGTATAATACGCGTATAAAGGCGCAATTAAAATGCATTATGCGATTTGAAGTCTGTATTTTTTTCATAGTGGGAAAAATATTGCATGGTTACATGATTTTAGTTTGTTCAAAGGATCGGGAGGCGTATGGTGCAGACCTGTAAAGAGGCCCAAACTGCGGCCTACCCCGGCCAAATCACGATTTGCATGCCCTCAAGTTCTCCGTATCAGACCTTTTTGGTGGCCATTAATATGAGGGTTTGTTAAAACGGGGGTGGAAGCATATTTCTGTGAAATGTGGGAGAAAAATATAGGCTCTCCTGGCTCTTTTTTTTGCAATGGAGCGTAGGCGTCCATTTTCGAAATGGCGTTGGGCTTCAGGACTGATTTTAGGGGTGATCATCTTTGGATGGAATTTTCTCCCAAAAGCCATTAACCCCAAAACAATAACGGGAAACGAAAGATGATTAAATAAGGTTTAATTTAATGCGTGTCTAAAAAAACCTTGGAGAGTTGCATTTTTAATAATATTGGAAAGTGTGCGTACTTAGCACTGAGATCTGCGGCAGTCTATTTACTGGTCTGGACCCACGGGCTGACTTTACTGGCGGCTCTAAAATTATTCGCGTAATAGCGCCCTCGGTTGGCAATTTCACCACCAGAGACAACCTCAATCAAGCAATGATCCCTGATTCTGCCGCTAATTACCCCGGCAGTTTCTTTCCACGAAAAGCTGGCAGCTCGATCGGCCCTGACATTTTAAATATACGCCACCTAACGGCAGACAGATCGAACATCAACCATCAAAATAAAGAAAATGAAAGAAAATATGTAATCGTCTCGACACTCAACAGTCAATTTAAGTAATAATCTATTCTGGTGCAGACGAAGACCCGTTCCCTTCCGGAAATTAATGCCTTCCGGAAATTAATCCGTATGCTATGTTTCTCTCTTTTTTTCCTACTTTTTTCCTTCTAAATCTAAAAGCAAAAGTCAATAATATTGGCTCACTGCAGTCATTCCCAATTCGCCGCTAATTGTTGCAGTTATAGCAATCGGTCTTTTCATCATGATAGATATTTACACAGATGCAATTTAGAATGTAAAAAGAAATCAGAGAAAGGAAGAAATATAAATATTCCTTTATGATTCAGCACAGTTTGGGTTGAATCATTTATTTATTTTTTAATTTCACTAAGTTTATGTCAGTATGATAATTCAGCACAAAAAAATAAAACACACAAAAAAAGCACCGTTGGATTCATAGGAAAAGGCTCCGTTTTCTTGCTGTACTACAGTATGATAGGAGATTCTTTCCAACTGACACTTTGATATTTGCCGCCATTAGGAAAATTACATCCAAAATGCAGCCACGCGCAGTATTCTTAGCCGATGATAATTACGTGGAAAAGTCCACTTCAACAGCAGGTGCATCAACAGGCCTACTTATGCACTCAAGGCCGCACGTACGCACTTTAAATGCACAATGGACTGAATACAGGTTTCACGGAATCGTCGCTGGGGGCGCACTACCGCGTATTGACGCTCCATGACAACGGTCACAACCCCCTGTGGTCCGCCGTCATTATTGACCCTAGCAACGGCGACGGAGACCAATAACAGGGGGGTGCGTTTACAGGGGCACGATCAATGGTGAGAGGCGACACTTTCGTTACACGAGACGCAGAACAAGGGTCTACAAATCTACTGCATTATTTGCTCGACATCACTGTCTACTCTGGCGAATGCTTTCCACGACTGTCGAGTTTTGCTAGTATTGGAATGCCGGATACTCAACGCCTGTAAAAGTACAGAGACCTGTTAGACATTAGGAGACATTTATTGTCGGATTGCGAAGCTCCTATTAAAATCACTAGCAATTACCAGGAATACAGGAATTTCAGCCACGTTGGTGTTTAAAAAACTCTTGAACTTTGCACTTCGCTCAGTTGTAAAACAGCAATATCAATCTGTGTTGTGACGACAAGACAACTGGTGTTATTTAGACGAGAAATTATTGAATCGACCATCGAGAGAATAATTCATCATGGGTTGCGGTGGCTCCAAGAACGCCGTAGTCCCCTCAGTGGGTTCCTCCCAGGCCTGGTCCGAGCGGGGCAGCAAGCCGTCCTCCGCCGGGTCCACCAAGACCAAGCCCGGCCGGCCAAACTCCACACTCGTCCGGGTGAAGTCTAGCGGCGGTACGCCGGTCACGGTGCTCAAGCCGGACCGGGCTGTGTCCCGCGAGTCCCTCCGTGGCACGGTCCGTGGGGTATCGTCAGCAACAAGCAAGGCATCAGCGCACACCTTCGACAGTGGACTAGAAGCTGACTACGGGAATATTATCACTGAGGAGTCCGACCCAGCACTTGTGGAGCAGACAATGGGAGGAAATAGGCCACACACGCCAGGTAAGAAACGTTTCTCTTTTCAGCAAAACCCCAAACAGCCAAAAAGTCCTCCAGACAACACCGCACAACCCCAAAAGCAGCTAGTCTAACCACTACGAACAGACATCGGAACAATTCACAGAAACAATCACAAGTATATACTCACACAAAAACTGTTACAATGAAATGGCAAAATAGTTATGTTTTAAACTTCAAATCAAATTATTTCGCCTGAACGTTCTTCCTTCGCTGGCAAAATGCGACAAAACGTGCTGACATTTCTGTTCTTATTTTTTTCCTTTTGCATCATATAAAAACAAAAACCTAGGCCTTTCCAATTTTCATAGCACGCGAATACATTATTACAAAATGTTTACAGAAAAACAAAAACGTAACAAAAATTTAAGATATCTGATTCATTATTTCATGTTTTGTAAAACTGACGCCGTACCGACGCTCGTAAAAAAAAAAAATCTCAACCCACCCACCGGCAGAACACGTCGCCAGCGTGTCGCAGACAAAAGACTGCTTTGACAACAAGCGTGTGACGTACCTTGTCTCTATTGTATTCAGTCAATACGATTACGTTACGAACCAGTGTGCACGGCTAAGCTGGGGGTATATCATGAATATTCATAACTTTATAACCTGTTGAATGATATTTGTCGGTCTCGAGGCACGTAAGGCGATTATGTCACGACACATTTCATGTGCCATATTTCATCCCTTGGGAAAATGTGTTCGGAACACTGTTCAATTTCTGTGTAATACACAGAAAGGGATTTTTTTTCTTAACGAATTGAAGACATGTACATGTACTTGTATTTTTGATAACTGAAGTAAGAAAGTAACATTTTTAAAAATAAATACATGAAATAACACACCAAGAAGGCGTGGACGTATAAAACCAAATGCAAATTTAGAATGATTTTTCTGAAATAAATTGTTGGTGTTTTCTTTATAATTAAAAGAAGGAAGACGAGAACAAACCTCAAATGGATTTAAAAGAAAAATCTCCATTTTTCCACAAAAAACTTGACATTTCAACTAGAAGTGCTGCATTCTTGGAAGACAAATACATATCGGGAACAAACAAATCAACAACTTGTACAAACGATTCCTATACAACACTCTCCCTCTTTCTACTAAAAAAACCTGTTCATTTTGAAACTGCTGTTTCCTTCCTGATGGAAAGACAGAAGACACGACCGAACCCATGATTTCTAACAACTTCCTTTTCCCACTCCAAAACTACAGATTTGACGCTGCAAGGTACGCAAATCGATGTTCGCAAGCGAAGCGGTAAGGCGCGGGGCACGGACCAGGATATCATCTCCCAGCTGAAGAATGAGGGCCTACTGTCCCGTCCCGTGGCCGGCCAGAGCGGGCTGGCCTTCGACGTCATGATCGCCCCGGAGTTTGGGATTCTCAAGAAGCCCCCGGCGCGCCTGGCTAAGCTCAAGAAGAAGAAGACCAAGAAGAGGGCGCTGACCAAGGAGGAGCTGGAGGCCAAGCTGAAATCGGCCGAGGAGAGACGGAAGGTAAGAATCAGAGACAATCGTTCACTTCTCACTCCCCGACCCTGGAACCCCCACCCCCACCTCTCTCGCTCTGGGAACATCGTAGGGACTGAGAGATGTCAAATTCAGGCAAATGCTGACCATAATATTTTAGCTCGAGATGGGCTTCAAATTGAAGCTCTCGTCAATAATGTACTTGTATACATTATTACATGAAAACAGCCTCTTAGTTCTAGTTTTCTTACTTGAGATACTAGAAGACTAGTTGAAGAAAGTGTTAATTGAGCGCAAATTCCGTCTGTCTGATGAGTCTTTTCTTAGTTTGGGGTGAGCTTATAATATAATGAAGCATTCTTCAACTATACATGTGCATTAAAACGTGTACATGTACATGTACATTATGGACATGGCCTCTTAGCAATAGTTTTCTTGCTTGAAATGAAAGTGGACAACCACTTGAAGACAATGTTGAACGCAAATTCTTTCCGCTTGAAACACTCTTTTTACCACTTTCACAGACCACGAAAGTACATAGACTTGACTCAATACCAAGAAAGCAATCAACCTTTAAATGGCACTTATACATGTACACGTACATACATGTCATTGCAAACAATTAGTTACAGTTGTCTATAATTGAACGGTAATCATTGACAATTTTGTTGCTCTTTTTGATTCCACAGAGGAAAGAAGCCCAGAAACTCGAGAAACTCAACACAGCCGCCAAGGAGAAGCAGGTCCATCAGTCTCTCGACGCATCAGAGGAGGCCCAGAAGAAAGAAGTGGCCATCAGGACCACCACCGACATGGAGAAAAAGAATGAGAACAAGGAGGCCCGCCTGCAAGCGTTCAGGGAGAAACAGGAAAAGAGGAAAGCCCACGCTGAGAAGGTTCGCCTGGCGCGGCTGGCCAGGCAGGCCGAGGGAGCACCGACGCAGGATACGGACGCCTCGTCAGGCGTGCCCGAAGGCGAAGCCTCCGCGGTCTGAAAACACGGCAAACTTTTGACTGATGTTTATTTTTTTGAGGACAAATACAACTGAAATTCAGGGTTGTTGTGGAGAGTGTCTCGACCCGTCGAATGTTACTCGTGCCTGAGGGGCATAGTGCCAAAGATTCCGCCGATTAGTCAAGTTTTATTGGCCGCGAGATGTGCCAACGCGAAGGCGATACAAACGGGTGTAGGATCATGACATTTCGCCGTCTGACTATAAAGTGTCTGACATAAATTATTTTTACGCCAATTTCTTTTTTAACTGTTTAATTCTGACCGCTGAGGCGATGTTAGCATTGAAAGTGAAAACAATATTGTCAAAACGTTTGATCTTGTTCACAGCTTCTGAGAAATTGCAGCACATTTTTAACGACAACATTGGTTTTTGCGGGTGTATATTTTAATTAACAGCTCAAATAATATGCCGGGAATGAATACTGTGAACATGAGATATATGAATTATAAGGTTCGCAAAACTGTGACAGTAACGCACAATGAAGAACGTTCGCATCATTGCTGGGTAGAAGGATGGATGAGCGCTTATCAACAGCAAACAGCAACCCCATGGATCCAATCGTATTGTGTGCATAGGGAGTATGAGTGAGACTCTCCATCAGAGGGAGTAAGTGTGAAAGAAACATCGGGTGAAGTAGAGGAGCGAGTCGGATACTATGGAAATATGTCAAATAGGGTGATTACGAGGGTGAGGAATAGAGGTGGTGAGTGAGATGGGTTGTGGAATGTTGAGTCCACCCAGGGGAAAAAGAAACGATTGAGAGTGTGAGATGAATATGAGAGTTTGAGACGAGATTGTGTCATTGAGAAAGTGACAAATACAGTGAGAGACGGTGTGAGAGACAGAATGAGAGATGTGCTGACGCAATAAAAGCTTATTTTGTTTTCAAATACATGTATAAATTTGTAACCGAAGTGCCTTATACAAGTATTAAAGAATTCCGTCCATATATTTTATTGACAAGAGTTGATCTCTTAAAAGAATTGTACGCTGCTCAGGCACCAGTTGCCTTTAAAAAGCAGATTTTTTGGTGTGTTTTTGTGTTTATTGTGGAAGCTTTTAGCTGCACCGTATATTTTTTTCTTCAACGTCACATTGTTATATTTTAATTAATACAAGAATAACACTAAACTTGACCAGGGTGCAGGAGTGATCTGGCTGTGGGAATTGTCTCTTGGCAATTATCGACAACATGGGTTTCGACTTTTTAAACTATGAATGTAGTTTTAAACATCCGACGATTTTCATTTAGGTATTGTGCTCTTCATGTGAAATTCTTTTAACTGACCAGTGTGATACAAAAATTACTTTCACATTAAATTAAGTTGGTTTGTTTCTATTTAACACGTGTGTTGTGGAATACATGTACATGTAAACATTAAAATACGAAAATGAAATAGACATGAAATATCGCATTTGTGTTTGTTTATTGAAGTTGGATGTACCAATAAGCCAAGTATCCACACCACCGGATGATGAAACAGTGGCGAAGCCACGGGGGGCGGGGCGGGGGGGGGGGGGGGGCGAACGGCCCCCCCCATGAAACCTTGTCGCCCCCCACTGAGATTTTGAGTTTCTAAAAAAATTATCATTGATCTACATGACGCCCCCCATGAAATGTTCCAGCCCCCCCCCCCACACTGAAAAATTCTTGGCTACGCCACTGTGATGAGGTCTCGCACAAGACACATGTAGACGAATCAGCTATGTCTCTTCTTCAAGTTGTCATTGCCTTATACATGTACTTGTACGTAGCCATTAGCATGCATGATTATCATAATGAACATACATCAGCGAAATTGTTCAAGATCGCGCATAGCCCAATGCCGAATGGGAAAACAGCGTTACAAAATACCCCTTTTTGTTCAAAATATATAACAGAACATTGACAGTTGTTGTACAGCCATATCATTTCAACTCGAGCAGTTTTGTGCTTTTTCAAATGTTCAAGTTTGTTAGTACGCGGAATAGTGTAAAATGCTGACGGAAGGCTGGCTACACAAACTCTGCGTAATGGTTCTACATGTGCATGCAGAGTCCGTAATTTTTTTTGGACGAATGGTACGAACTTAATTTTTTTATCGGCGGCAGAGGGCGCTGTGCTGATAGGCAATCTTGGCCTTTTTCTGCGCATTATGTACTTTAAACTAGTCTGAGTATCACCCGTTATCCACGACTTTACTAAATCGTGACGTCATTTCATTCCCGGGCGCATATTGCATAACATGATACAGAGCGCGTTACACAGGTTTTTTTGGTATGCATTGTCTATGACGCGCACGGGTGAATGACCGAAGACCCGATATAGAAAGCACCCGCTGATTGGTCAAAATCTAGAGGAGAGGCGGTTGTCTTGCCTAATCAATCAGCGAATCTGCTCACATAGACTTTAAACTTGGTTTGGCTGGAATAATAACTGTTGTATGAGGGAAACATGTTGATTGAATGTTTTCTTTCTATAACCCATCATCAATTGAAAATGTAGAAAATTCTCATTTCAGCACTGCAAACTGAAATTCAGACAACAGAACGAATTTTTTTTTTTTTTAAATACAAATGTAAAAAGGTGTTACAATATAAGATTTGAGGCTTTGCATGGTGGAGTATCGGTATCGTTTCGGTTTGCGGTAAAACCATGTGGTAATAACTACTGCTTAGAAGATATTTAGTTCTGAAAAGAACTTGTCCTGCTTATTATCAACTTTGCTTAATATTTTTTTTGTTCTGATAAGAACAGTCCTGCTTTCTTATCAGAACAAAAAACTACTAAGCAAAGTTGATAATAAGCAGGACAAGTTCTTTTCAGAACGAAGTACATTGTATCTTCTAAGCAGTAGTTATTACCACATGGTGTTACCGCAAAACGAAACGATAAGGGGTTGCAATGTTAAACAAACCAAAACAAACTGGTTAAGTACTGTACATAATGCCAACGGCAATAGTTGGTTATACCATGTACATGTAGTACGTAATTTATTGATTTGTATAGGCGTGCTTAATCAATACATTGGAATGGACCGATCCAGTAAGCCCCGCCCACAGCGCACTGGGCAAATTAACACGTGCTCCTCTCCAATGCCACGCTGCATTTTCCTTCCGCGCGCATCATATGCGCGTACCGCGTGCACGCATGTCGGACTTTAGTGCACGCACGTCGGACCTAAATCACGGCTGTGATTGGTCAGAACACCATGGGGCGGTGCTTACTGGATCGGTCCATTATCAACGTTTGTCCCCAAATATCAAGGAATACAAAGAAATTCGTACAAGTATTCCCCCAAACTTACATTCATGTCTGATTTACCTGAACATTCAGAGCGCATCTATCTATAAAAAAAAAGTTTACGCATTTTACACATTTTTGTACATTTTCATCTATATGCTACCGTTTAGAAGAATATATTACACATGTTCATTTTTACTATAAATTCCACGTGGCGCTGTGTTCACGGCGTTTGATTTTAATATTAATACGAATTTGAATATTCAACTACGAATATAAATACACCTTACTGGAAAATAAAGCAAAACTAAACAGAAATACACTGACCATTTACCTTGCAATTGGTTATATTGGAAGATTTGCGTTTACGAGTATAGGGAATTATAACACTTTGTATAATAATTGATAATTATAAAACTTTGTGTAATAAATCAAAAAGAAAGAAAAAAACAGACATGGGGGAAATAAAAGTTAAATCAGTGCACGTTTTTTTGACCAATCCTTAACGGTGAGTCAGCTTTCAAAGTTGAGCAAAGTGTAAGAACTGGGATTTAAAAACGGCTGCAGAAGAAGGCTAAGCTGATACTCGTGTTAACTAACTTGCACCTACATCTAGGATGTTGCTATTATAAAGATATAATATAGTAGTCTTCTGTTCAAGTCGTATGTCTCCTAATTGCCACAACATTGCAAACCTTGTCAGAGGACTATCATTTGACAACAGACTGGTGATAACACATGTATATGGGCGAGAGGGAGGGGGTTAGGAAAATGGGGGGGGGGGGGGGCGTTAGGAAGATACCGGGGTAAGGTAAACAAAAATTTGAATGGGTGTGCTACTGAGATACTGGCTTCACTGACAGAGCACACAATAAGCTCATACCCGATTGATACACACGATCAAGGGCGGATCCAGGGGGGCCAAAGGGGGCCATGCCCCCCCCCCCAAAAAAAACGAAACCAATTTTTTTTTTTTATGTGACATCGCAATAAAGGCAGGCAATGAGTACACCACCATCTTTTCCTCAAAAAAACATTGGTTAAAGTGGTCAGAAATTGCCTCAGATCGCACCACAGAGCATCTAGAATCCAAAAATTTGTCGGGGCCGTTAAGCGGGCCCCGAACCCCACACCGTAATTTTTTTGACCCACTTTTTGGGGGGACCAAACTTTTTTTTGGCCCCCCCCAAAAAAAATTGTGTTCTGGATCCGCCCTTGCACACGATTTTGGTTTTTAAACCTTTGTACTCTACTGATACTCTTATCATGATAAGGATAAGGATTATGATTATCATGATGAGCTTCAGCACACATGATACAGCACATACGTTCCGCCTTTCCCAATGTAAACCATTAAACAGATTTATCAATATTTACAATCTTGCTTCTATTTTTTTTTAACAATTGGTTAACACATTTGAAAACATCACGTCACATATATTGTTTTTTCATGTACAGCTAGACCTTAAAAAACAGTACGGTTTACAACGAGGTTCCTTGTACCGGGCCACTTTAGTAAATAATCTCGTTTATTAGAACTAGCTGCAGAAATATTCATACTGGTTGCACAGTTGCGGCGCGAATGACTTTGTAAGTAGTCTGTGTAAATTTTGCAATTTATCTTTCTGTCCGAAAATCTATGTAAATGTTACAATGTTGTAAATTGGGGAAAAGAGTTTTCACAACAAATTGTACGTTAGTGTTGTAAGGAAAACTAAAAATAATGTTCACAGCAAAATAAATGTAAACAGTGCTTAGCATTTTTTCATAACAGGAGTGATTAAGAATTTTGCGTTGTACATTTTCAATGTACATGTCTCATAAAGATGACCAGAGTACTCTAACTGAAACGTTGACAGAACTTCTTTTTCCATATTTGAACTGCAATAACTCTTTAACTATTCGTGAGCAAGCAACTTTACCCCAACTTGCCTCTTTGCACTTAGGAATATAAATGTGTTTTTATAAGTTTAGAGAGTTATTACAGGAATCCATTCCTTTGAACATCTCATATTATCAGTATTCTTTGACAAAAAAAAAAATTAATAAAAAAAGGGGGAAAAAACAAACAAACATTTGTTACCAATGTTTGTATGTCTCGATCTCAAAAGGAGTCATGATTAGTTCTTTGGAACAACAAGGTAGATGATGACCCCAAGAACGGCCAAGAGGACAAGAATGCAGATGAAGATGATGAACTTCTTACGCCGAGCCTTGCTCTGTCAGGGAAGGAATCCAGAAGAGGGGAAAAACAAAATGAGAGGGTGAAGCCGACAAAAGCCTGCAGGACCTTGCTGCATTGGTCTGTTAAACACCAGTGCATCAACAGCCAATTCTGCGACAATGCAAGCTGGTCCTATCAAACAACGCCACAGTTGTATCCTGCTGCAGTTGGCACCCACAGACTCTGAGGCAGTTTGGCCTCAGGATTTTGAACCGATGGATCCTGTTTAGATTGGACAGGCTTTTCACTTTGTAAAGTGCCGCATGTTGTTGCATAGGATAGGTTTCTAGCCAAAATACCCTTACGGGCAAACATTACAGAAGCAATTACACATCCAAGATGGATGACAGAATGACGCGACAGGCTCTGCTCTCCCGAGAAGCGACCAGGAGTAAAAGGTGAAGCTTGGGGGATGGCAAGTTTGATTACTAAAGGAAAATCTTTCACTGATTATTAGCTCTAGAAGGAAAAGTATGTAACTATGATTGCTTCTCTCAGTGATTAGTGTAATGTGAATGATTGCAAATTGCTCACGTTCTTACAAAGAATGAATTAATAAATACATTATGAGGGTGAAAAAGTATGAGTCCTGTGCACATCTAAGTCCTTTAACCCCAACCCCTTAGTACTCCCTCAGGACTACCCTGCTAAATCCAACAGAGTCCAACTGGACTTTCCTGTTCAATCCACTGTGCCTCATTTTCAGTTGTCTGCTGAACCCAACCGAGTCCAACTTGGTGTTATAATGCAGTTCAGTTGCCTGCTGAATCTAACATTTTGCATCAGGAATGTACACAAGGGGTTAACTGCTCAATCCAACAGGCTCCATCGGGTATGCGACATAGTTGGATCCTGTTGGATTCAGCAGGGTTTGGGTTAAGTATGAGAAGCATTACTGAGTTATGCACGCATGTTAAAAAAGCTTGATTGTTCCCAGCTGTGACCAGCTCCAACAAATAAAGAAACTAGTCAGGCTACTAAGTTTGGAGATACTGTACACCCCAGCTGAATGGAAAGATGCATGCATGCCTCGTATTTCAAGAAAAACAGCAGATCATTAGACATGAAGGAAAGCTAGACGCAGGTACAGTACTGAGTTTCACAAAGATATCATCATGAAAAAGCACAGGGTTTAGATAGTTTAGATACTTTACACTTAAGCCTAGGATAAGGCCAAAAAAAAGAAGAAAAAAAGTTCAGCTTCCGATTACATGGCATTCAAAAATAGGGTAGGTAGGTACGGAATTTTTAATTTATTTTGGCCATTTTTGTGTGTGTACTATCATATGGAGGCATCTGCGTGAAGTCAAGGGTAAAAGGTATAAAGTGATGGTTTGGGTGTTTTTTTTTCTTCAAATTTTTCCAATAAAACAAATTAGAGAAGGGGCTGTCAGAATAGGGTAGGTAGGGAAACCGGAAGCAGAACTATTATTTTTGTTTGGCCTAACAGAAGTGCTAGAGATTGACTGCAATCTTTGGCTAAAATTTCTTTCAAAACTGAAAGAAGCACTGAGCTGGGAAACACAAACAAAGCAACATGATGCTTGTAGGAATGATTGTGTGGAAAATAAATGGAACAAATAAATTGAAAATAAAAGTGTGTTTTGAAGAAGAAGTGAGGATGTGAATGTAAGAGCTATAACTCTGATCTATTATTAAATTCTGTCAACTTGGTCACATGCCTTGGCCCAGCGTGAAACCCGGGGCAAATACGGCAGACGACAAGCATCCAAACTGCCAACGCCACAAAATTGGCAGCCTATTATTAGCCTGGGACTTATTCCTCGTTATGATGGAGCTGGTCACAACTGGTTTCCCTCCACATACCAAAGCGAAATGAGTCAGCGGTGAGCGGGTGGCCAGCTAGTTCTTGGGGACCACGAGATAGATAAAGAGGGCTATGGCCCCAAGGAGTACCACACAGCACACGGTGATCAGGATTTTTTTCCTCCGAGCTTTAGACTGTCAGGAAAGCAAGTCAGAAACTTTTTTGCCGATTAATTCACAAGACTTCCTCTTCACTAAACACACCATGAACACAACACTCCAAAGAGGATTTAAGCCAGCATTTGAACACGAAAAAGACATTTTGTTGTTCACTGAAAAACAGGGGATCACAGTTTTTTTTCACAAACAAGAAAGACATATTTGCATACATTTGGCACAAATTTGTCCAAACTATCCAAATTTAAAACAAACGTCTAATTAATGTCCAACAATTTTTAATCACATTCACACCAACAACAGGCCATGCAAGACAGCAGATGAAACACAAATACGGACAATCTGTTGTTAGAAGTTTCCTGAGATAAGCAACCTTTCTTTTGACAGCAAAAATATCTTAAAACTGGCACCACTGTTTCGAGAATTGTTTCAGTGTGGAAAAACAAATTCCAAGTTATCAGTGACTTCTTCTTGCACTTCTCCATGACTTTTCAGAAGCACTAGCGTTTTAGAAAGACTGGAGGTTTTCTGTGTTATACAAAAAATCACTCAAGTTTTTACTCAAAAGAAGGATTTTACGAAATTTGCAACTTATATGTTAAAAGTAAGAAGACATTTTGAATGAAAAATGGTGATGATGGTAAAGTTTTATATGCTCAATAATACAAATAAAGATGGATGATATGCATAGAAGGGTAGCTCAAACATTTCCCAACAAAACCCCACAAAACCCTGATAAGAATGCTTGTAATTTTGGTTTTTAAGTTTGATGGAATTTTGTTGAGAAAATACAGCATTGTTTCTAGTTTGGTTAAATAAGAAAGGAGAGGACTTGTTTGAAAGAATACTGCACTTGTGTTCTTGAAAGCAAAAGCAAGCCAAAGAATTTTGCTCAAGCATTATGAAGTCCGAGCTAACGGATGCGTCAAACAATCATGCGGGAGTGTTATGAAGCAGAAAGCATGCAAGCAATGTTGCAGCACTCTAGATACATCTTCATATATCGGTCATTCTATAAATTTGGGTCCAATTTGCGACATCTTTCCTGTCCCTGTTACCTTGGTTCTTTGTAATTTGCCAATCAAGTATCATTAAGAACGGAGTTCAAGCCATTTTAAAATTTGTTGGGTAGGTAATTTACCATTCATAATCGCTCTTGGAGGACGAATGCATTAAAGGTAGGGTAGATCATTTGTCATTTTTGCATTTTTCTTTCATTTGAAGCAACAAAAGCACTCAGAATCTCAAGACGGGTGCTTTAACAACTAACACGATGAAGTTTTAGCTCTATGAACACTGCATATTCTGAGGAAAACAATTTTCTAGGATCTCGATTTCGATTTATAGGTTGCCGAGTCATGTTTTGAATTGCCCCCGGAATCAGCGTCTGGGACACGTTCTCATTCAGCCGACTGCAGCTACGTGATGAAAAATAGCAACAGCATTTGCGTTGTGACAACACTTGCAATGCTCCCATTCAGGGATTCGCCGAATTACAAATCAACTACTAACGGAAATTTCCGAAAATGTGTCGTTTGACACATCTTTGGAAATGGCCTTCTTTTATTGTTTTTTTCAAAATGACAGCATGCCAGAAAGAATAATTTCACAGGGACTTTAGTCCCATTACTATCTTTGAACCAAGTATGCTTTCAACAATAATTGTGTCAGTTCCTTTTTGGATAGCTGCAAATGATATACTCTACCTTTAACGAGTGGGTCAGAATTACAAAGTCAGAGATGTGAGACGTAACAAAGACGGGAAAAAAGTGGACCCCGAATTTATAGAACCAATAAGTACGTGTAGTTCTTATACCTATGAGCCATACACATAAAAACTGCACTGTACTACATGTACAACCCACATGCTGTGGTTCTAACTCAAAACTGTCCTTGTCAAAAAGTACTCAACAGAAATGCAAGCAGCGAGTGAGAGAATGCCAAATCTGGGTCTTACCTGATATGTCTTGGCATTCACTAGCTGTGTGTTGGCTTGCTCAACGTGAACCTCGGCCGTTTCGACGTTTGCCTCTATGCTATCTGCATGATTGAAGAGGAATCGTTAAAATGTACCAAGTCAAGTTTTGAAGATCACACATCAAAATTAATACAAAATTAATGTAAAGTACAAATGAGCATATTTGTTTACAAATAAGAATATTGATTATCCCCCAGAGTTGTAACGAGTCACTGATTTTTGTGACTCAAGATGAGTCAAGTCATTTTAAAGAAGTGACTTGAGTCGAGTGGAATCATTTTAAAGATCTGACTTGAGTCGAGTCATTTTAAAGAAGTGACTCGAGTCAAGTCGAGCTATTTTAAAGAAGTGACTGGAGTCGAATCGCGCCAGTTTAAAGAAGTGACTGCAGTCGAGTCATTGGGTCAAGAAGGTCGAGTCGAGTCCAGTCAAATACTTAACTCAAGTCAATTCGAGTCACGAATATTTGAACACTATTTACCAAAATTTATAAAAGGAGGGCATAAATTTAGCCATCGTTCCAAGAATCCAAATCCAAGACTTTTATAAGAAATCGCCCAAAGCCAATGCTGAAACAACAAATTGGAAGTTGTGTTTAAAATCGGTTTTTACTGGACTTCCTTTTTTTTAATGCAATGTCCCTGACAGAGCCAATACGCTGTCATGTTTTGAGAACTGGAGCATTTTTGAAAGCTTTCTCCTCCAACGTTTGGCTTACCGATCGTGTCTCCCTGCTCGTGAACCATCGTTGCCAGATCTTTGAAGATTGTGTTCACGTCGACGATGTCCGACTGTTGAGATACAATAATAATAATAATAATAATCGGCATTTAGGAACGCTCTTTTTAGTAAACTAAATTACAGCGCTTACAGTATTATTACTACCCCTGATCATTGGGCCAATTAAACATGCCAATTACCATCTCAGCTCCCTGGGGAGTATAGACCGCTTGCAGACGCGTTCGATAATTGACGCGCTAAGGTGAGCGACGCCATGTTATGGGACAAAATGTGCGTGAATTGATATACGCCTGTCCCACAACATGGCGTCGCGCGCCTTCGCGCGTCGATTATCGAACGCGTCTGCAAGCGGTCTATACAGCTCGATGCTGCCTGTTATATAGGCGCAAGCAAGCTTATTCAATCACAATAACCATCTCTTCCCTCACAGGTACCCATTTACTCCTGGGTGGAGAGAAGCAATGAGTGACAAAGTGCCTTGCTCAAGGGCACACGCACCATGACCCCGGCTGGACTCGAACCCACAACCCGCAGCTTTACCCACAGACCACGAATCCAGTGCCCTTAACCACGAGGCCACAGCACTCCACAATTACACTACAATACGACAGCAATAAGTAACATAGGCCACAAGTACACATAGGTTGATAAATAAAGGTACATACATGTAGTATCATTTCCGTTTTGTGCATATTTTTTTTCCGCTTGAAGCAAACCAAAATTGCTCCAATTGTTAGGAAGCGTGCATAACAACTAACTTGTTGAACTTTCAGCTCGGTGGATGCTATACATTTTGAGCAAACAAAGAAAACATGTGCACAATTTTTGAAGTCTCGTGATTGGATTCCGTGGCTAATGCTCGTAACACAAAAAAGATGTGCCCGTTGGCAAATTTGTCTTCAACTACTTTCAATGAGTGTTTTCTTCTGAAATGATACCATTTCAGGGGTGATATGCCTACCTCCAGTTTGTGGAGTTGGGCCTCTCTTTCCTTCAGGGCTTCGAAGTCCTCCTGTTGGAATTGGCTCTGCTGCATCGCTGGGGGCTGGGAACCACTACTGCAGAGAACCAGTGAGAAACGCATTCAACCCAGACTGAACTATTACAGTATCAAAGTATTCAGGTAGCCCAAATCTTAAAATTAATTTTTTTTTTTTTACTTTGTTGTTACGTTGTGATGAAAAGCAAGATTTGGTCACACTTTTCAGAACCAGATGATGAATCTTCATAATAAAGCCTCCAAGGGGTAAAGCCTCCAAGTTGAAACATTGATCTATTTGCAAAAACCATGCACAATGTCATTTTAAGCAGTAATGTCAGGCTTAACATCTGTAAACGGCATTTTCCAAAACGTTGTTATATTTATAAGTAAAAAAATCTCAACCAAAAAAAAACATGATTTGATCATCTTACCCTTCCCAATTGATGAGAGCATTGGGTCCTTCATCATAATCATCCTGCAAAGAAAAACACATAAAATTAATTCAAATGAAACGAAACGTTTAAAATTGTTGCTTCTGTTGTACTTTGTTTTTCCGTCTTTTTTTTCTGGAGCAGCCTGGAACCCATTAGTCAAGCAGCCTCATATATATGCCAGGGATGTCAAAACTTGTAGATTAAAGGCAAATCAATTAGAAGGGTATTTTTTTTATTAGGTACTGACCCCATATCCTGAGTTGGCCCGGACTCGCTTGACCCCCTCTCGTTCCTTCTGGGCTGCCTCTCGTTGGACTCTCTGGAACTGGTTCAGCGCCGCCGAGAAATCGCTGGTGAATCGCTCCTTCTGCATCCTCTGCTGCCTCTGCACGGGGAGAACAGGAAAATGATTATTGATAGGCAGGGCTCGCTTTGATGGGGAGGTGGCTTCACCGCCCAGCCTGATACCCTGGGAAGGTGGCTTCACCGCCTCGCCTGCTACGCGAGGAAGACGACTTACGGTAGGTGCCTTGTCCGCTTAACGAGTAGCCTGGAGGTGATGATTCAAATCACTTCATGACTTTAGTAACCCACTGGAAATTGGCATCACTAAACAGAACACTCTGCGATTTTTCTGATTTTTTCTGTCAATATTTATTGAATGTAGCTTGAGTGGGCATGATAACTGGTGCTTACCTGGTCTGATTGGGATACCGAAGCCGGGGCATTGTTGAGGTCCTTCAGCATCCGGTTTGTGTCCTTGGCTAATTGATTGGTGTAGTGCTGGACTTCATCACTAATGACAAAAAATAAACCAATGAAAATGGAGTACTACATGTTAAACGCTGCTTATAATAAACACTGCTGTACTGAACATTTGGCTGTAACAAACATTTCCTGTGTCTCCAGAAATTTGTGTACAAACAAACTGTCAATTGGAGGCCAATAATTGCTATAACAAATGACCACTATACTAAACAATAATGGACCCAATTGCTTTGTTATAAAGTGAAGTTCTGCTGTACTTGTATAAGGGAGGGAGAATCTCAATGTTTGTTTGATTGCAATACCTAAGAAGGGGAAACTATGTTTATTCCCAAGAATGAGTTTTATTTTAACATTAAATTTCAATAACTGTGGATGAAGCACTTACAGTTTTGATCTGAGAGTCTTGTTGTCGTCGGGCGTTCCCAGCCGAGGGATGATCCGCTCAATTTCTTTCACTGCGGAAGTAAAACATCAAGATATGTGATAATACATACTCAGAAATTTGTGTCTGCTGAAAAGACGGTCAAGGGTTCGAATCCAGTTGTTTGTCATGCACAATGTATGCCACTTTCCTCTCTCAACAGATCTACATGTAAATATTGGATAATGGACTGGATTAAGTCTATGTAATAGACCGTGGCGAAAGCCAGTCTTTTACATATGAACAGATTCGCTGATTAATTAGGCAAGACCCCACCTCTTGCCCTCCTAGATTTTGGCCAATCAGTGAGCGCTTTCTATATCGGGTCTTCGGTCATTCACCCGTTGCGCGTCATAGACAATGGATAAAAAAAATGTGTCACGCGCTCTGTATCATGTTACGCAATAATGCACCCCGCTGTTGTCGTTTTACAAAACACTGCATTCGAATTGACCAATCAAACCATTTAGTCCCGATTTGGGAATGAAATGACGTCACGATTTAGTAAAATTTACTCCAACTGGCTGGCGCGCGGCTTGCATAATTCTGCATGTCAAGACATATCAGAGGTTATACAGGAGATTGGCTCCGTGGATAACGGGTGATACTCGGACTAGATTGACTTACCATTCTGGGAGATTTTCTGTATGTTGGAGCCAATGCCTTGCATCAGTCTGTTCTGATCTGCTGCGGAGCTGTTCCGCCCTGTGGGAAAAAAAATGGCAATGATATTAGAATTCAAATACCCAATGAAATGCTTGACTGAGTCCAGTGAAAGTATTTGCATTAGTTCAGCTGTTTCAGAGTGATTAGTTTCGTTGGCTTTTCGTTGCATTTTGTTTTCCAATGAAGTCAAACTACATAGTCTCATCGCCCCACTTAGAGTACAAAATATGGGGAGTCAGCTTGACGTAGCGGTACTTTCCTCGCCTTCCGCCACTGTGACCCGGTTCGAATCCCGCCTTGGCCAATAGTAGATTGGGTTTTTAGGTTTCGGTTTTCTGATTCCGTGGTTTTCTCCAGAATATTCTTCTGGGGTTTTCCTCCCACCTCTACAACTGTAATTTCTTCTCATTGTCTCCTCTCTACAGGTTTCTTCAGGCTTGCGAGCTACAGTGCCTAGGGCGCTTTTGAGGAATCCTTGGTTTCATTACCCCCCCAAAAAAATAATAATAATAATTATAATATTAACCCTAACCGCCCTGAATCCTCCAAAACCCTTTTTGCAAATTGGAGGAATTTGCAGGATTGAGGTCACATGGCCAAAGTGCGTTGCTGATTTCGGAGTACGCACTGTGTCAAGGTCTTGGGCTGGACCTTGTGTTGTTTATGGTCAGCCGTGCATAAATTTAGTCCTTGATTATACTTGACATCCTCCGCACTGCTCCAGGATGTCACTGCCTCTGCCTCAGCCTATTGACAGTCACAGCCGGAGGATTTTGCAAGATCAGGCAGTGGTCACCCCTCCATGGACCATATTCAAGAAATAACGGAGGAATTTGCAGGATTGAGGCTATATGCTATATTTCCATGAGGCTAATTGGAGGATTTTGCAGGATTGAGGCTACATCCTAGCAAAAAGGCCTAGGGAGTTAGGGTTAATAATAATAATAATAATAACCATTAAGTTCTATTTTTGTTTGAACAATAAATCCACCACTGAGAGTCCTTCCTGGATATTACCCTCCCCGTTTGCATTAACACAGTTAGATATATTTAGTATTTTCAATTATTTTGAGAAAAAAAAATGCAATTTGCTAAATAACATGTACCTCCAGAGCCAGAGTTGTATGTGGAGTAACCCCCATCGCTATACGCACCCCCTCCCGGCCCTCCAAAGTCTCCATGGCCAAACGACATCTTTTATGGATTGCAAATCCTCTCTGCGTTGCCTATCCAGTTATTGCAGAAGCGGTGGTGGGTACAACTATGTACAAGGTCTTGCTTTTGTTGTGTCGGATGATAGATTATTCTTGATAAATGCACAGGCCCGGCTACTGCAATGGGAGCATTGCGATGATCAACAAGTCAAATCTGGGGAAAGAATATCAACACTGATTGAATTATTATTGCATTTTACAATGGACACAGTGCGACAGACAGGTGATGGGATTGTGCCTTTGATGATACAAGCATGGCATTTGGCAGACATTCAGAGTACGTCATGAGAAAGATATCTGTCTAGAAAGATATCACAGATTTGTCCTTTGAAAAAATATAGGTACATTAAAATCCCTAACCCCCTAGTATGTAGTTCCTCAGGACTACCCTGCCAAATCCAACAGAGTCCAACTGGAGTTTCCTGCTCAATCCACTGTGCCTCATTTTCAGTTGTCTGCTGAATCCAACGGAGTCCAACATGGCGTTATAATGCGGTTTAGTTGCCTGCTGAATCCAACATTTTGCATCAGGACTGTACACAAGGGGTTTACTGCTCAATCCAACAGGCTCCATCGGGTATGTGACATAGTTGGATCCTGTTGGATTCAGCAGGGTTAGGGTTATTAACAAGCAATGGCAGCCATTTAAAAAATTCTTGTTATTCTACCTATATTTTTTCAAAGGAAAAATCTGCGATGGCCCTATACCCAATTATCTTTTCCATGACAGACCCTGACTGTGTGCCAAATGCCATGCTTGTATCATCAAAGGCACAATTCCCCCAAATATTTCCCCTATCTGCCCCACTATGGTGACATGGAGGAAGGATTAGTAACTTCCAAAATTTACAAGTTCATTGAAACAGCATCTTCTTTGCTCAGTAGACAAACAACGAAACAAAAACAACGACCAACTAGACTTGAACACAAGGCTGCTTCAATTGTATGAGTAAAAAAATTCAAAAAGGTTTAAAGTATAAAGAGAAATGAAAACCGACATTGGTCAAGTTTGTTATGAACCATATGATCCTAAGGCCAAGCTGCCCAGTTATAAAACAAACCAGTTTCTCGTCCCAGGCCGCTTTCTTTTCCCTCCCAACTCCTTTGATTGATTGTATTTCTTATTTCAACTCAATTTATTGTCTTTTTACAAAATCTGACAAAATTGTAGTCATATATGTAGAAAGGGCATGAAGGGCTGCGGCTTCTTTGGATACAATTTTTCTATAAGCAACAGATTTGAGAAAATGGTAAAAGAAAAGAAAAAAACAAGCACGCCTCCTTCATTTGAAAAAAAAAAAACAAGTTTACTCGGCCTACTGACATGGAACATTTTCTAACATTGTTTTCGCTTTAAAATTATCACTAAAACATGTCAAACCTGTCTTAACCAATAATTATAATTTATAACTAATGATTTATATCACACATTTTGAATGTAATAATAATTTCACATACATCATCATCAGACATGACCAAGAAAAGCAAAAATAGAACATCCATTTGAAAAGACACACAGTGAGAACAGAGAACAGAGAGGTAAAGAGGAAATGTTTTTCACGAAATTATTGTTTGTTTAACAGTTACTCCACTAAATCTTTATTTAGTCCTGTAAACGTGGCTATATATACACAGCCACGCTCTGTTCATATCTCTGGACTTTTGACATGTTTGAAATCCTGGATGAAGACCTTCCATTTACAGTCCCGAAATTTAACAAGCACTGCAGTCTGCATGTTCAGTACTTACATAACCCCATAAGGGGTTATCCAAGAACATCCAGTGGCAAAGGATCTGTCGTTCCAAAGAAATTTGAGGGGAAAAATGGAGCCCAACAGGAATACGAACCTTAGAAATTTCGAAAGTTCAAAGACTAGGCCTATGTCTAACGGAGCGTGCATGGCTATCATTATGACTAAATAAGTATGCCCAGCCACGTTTTCGGGTCTACCCTTTATTATGACCACACACAATTATAGAAACAGAGGCGGATATGAATCCTTCACTGTATAGACTACTCAGTACTAGTACTAAGTCATGTAAGTGATAAACAAACCAATGAGTGTGAGTCATGCTATTGCCGACGTCATGCAGAAATTATGTACACCGAAAATACGCATCCGACATCAGATCACTTTACTTCGAGAAAAAACTTACTGTGTGGTTTTTCCATTAAATATCCTATACAAATACATTTACGATTCGTCTACGTATGTGGTCAAGGAAAATGGTATAAGCTATGGGCCCAAAGGCTCGTGATAAATCGAGAAAAACTAACCGAAAGTGGGCGGGCGTTCAGTCCATACCGTCCTCTTCAATACGTACATGACATAATTTGGGTTTGTCAATCATTAACAATAGAGGGCCCTTCCTAATCGCTTTTGAACTCTTGAGGGCGGTATTACAAACCGACCGAAAAGTGGAAAAGTGAAAGTTTGGAAACTCGAACTTGTTAGCAAAGTCATGAAAGTGTTTCTTCGAGTTTGTTGCAAGCCTGGAAAAATGACAGTTTGAAAAGGAAAGGTGTAAGAAAGATCATAAGCTTTTATTCAGATTTAGGTGCTACTGCTTTGCATATTTTCCTGCTATAATTGCAAAGAAAATTGATTTATTTTAATGGTTTATCGTGTGGAGAAAGTTCTAGCCCCATGAATGTGGCCTATTTACTGGACTGCCTCCGTAAACATAGGCCACACGTCCACATGTACAAAAATCGTGTCGACTTTGCCAAATTTTGATTTTCACATTAAGGCTTAGTTTGTAGGTTTTTTTTGCTTTAGAAGCATACTCACCCTCTTTAAAGGCTAATCAGAAAGTGCTGCCTTTTTCAGATGTATATTTTTCGTGAAATTTCCAGATTCATTTTTACACGTTTGCGTATCAAAATTTCAACATGAAATTTCACAAAAATTGGACATCTGAAAAAGGCAGCACTTTCTGATTAGCCTATATAGAGGGTGAGAATGCTTCTAAAGCAAAAAAAACCTACAAAGTAAGCCTAAATGTGAAAATCAAAATTTGGCAAAGTCGACACGTTTTTGTACATGTGGATGTGTGGCCTATGTTTACGGAGGCAGTCCAGTAAATAGGCCACATTTATGGGGCTAAGAAAGTTCATGATCATGATTCAATATACGTCCATGATTCAACGTATAAGGCCTTCGGCTCGGTGCATTAACGGCGGCCAGGCCCTGCCCGGTTTTAAACTACAACAAGTACATGTTTTAATTTTGTTTACAATTGCTCATGATTCACACTAGTATTATGACGTATATTATTATGTTTTACTCGAGCAGAAAATGATAATACATGGACCCAAATCGCCATGAATGAATCCTCAACAACAGTCACCAAATCTGTGAATAAAAATGGCTGGACAAACGTCACAGCAAAGCAGGCAACACCATTTGCATGATGGGACTCACAGCTTCCCTAGCTCCTCCCATAGACGCTGCTGTGCCTGGGCCATGGTGGGCGTCGGTGGTGTGCTCCTGCTAGTGGGCGTGGTCCTGTTTGTCTTGGGCGTGGTTCCTGGAAGCATGGCGGGGGATGTTGTGAAATGGCTTGGTGCTGTTTGTGGAGGTAGGTATGTGGTGCGGGATGGTGGGGGCGGAGTTATAGTGGTGAGGGGGGGGGGATGTCAATAGTATGAGGTTTATTAGTTACACGGATGTAGTCCATATGGTGTTTAGTGTCATGTAACTGAACTAAAAAATACAGTACAAGCTTATAACTTAGTTATTTCGTGTCTACTCTAAGTGATAGGTTTTATTTCAAATTATATCTGATATTTCGGTAATCCTTACTTTTAGGAACCCTTTCCTATATAAGGTTAAAAGACTCACCAAAACAGCTGACTATGACACTCAAAAGTGACATTCTGATATTTATTGACACATTTGAACATTTGGCAATGACACCTCTTGAATATCAGCAGGTTTGATTTTGTAGAAAGAGGGCAGGGTTTTGATTTATGAGGGGTTAAAGACGACGATGACAAACAGAAAATAAATTTAAAAAGCAAGATGGCGAACTGCAAAAAAAGGTAGGAAAGTCACATTTTCTTTGAAAGTGCTTTCAAAATTATAACTAACATGAGTTTGTCTGAAGAAAAAAGACTTCTTTTGCCTGCAAAAGTCACTTTGGTACTGGACAGTCATCTGCAAAAGTCAGTTTTGAACAGAACTCGTACAAAATAGAGGTGTCCTAAAAGTAAGGATTACCGATATTTCACTTTCAACATTTGTTCCAATCAGTTCTTGGCATTGTGCTCCTTGTTGCATCCGTGGCTGTATACATCATTGCATCGAGAACCAAAGACACTGAGAATTATTCAGGTAAATTAACAATTTAATTATTTTGTCAATAATTTTATGATTTCATAATAGCTTGTGTTAAACTTAACCAACTGACTAAACTTGTACAAGTTAACAAACTTAGCAAATACTTTACTGCAAAATTAACTCTGCAGTGACTAATGAAGAATCTACAGTAAGCAAGAATTGTCAGAGTGACCGCCCCCGTAGCATTATAAGAGAGCCCTCCCTCAAACCCAGGGGAGGTTGCGTCAAGGCCACGCCAGGAGGGTACACCAGCTTCCTGTACAGTCCTAACTACAAGGGGGAGGAGCCAACAGGTGATTAAACCCCTCCTCTACCTGCCCCAGGCCCCGCCCCTGGCTACACCCCTTTCCCAAGGCAGGTTTTCTAACTTGCAATATTCTAATTTTGTAATGTATTCTGAAATGTCTTTCAACACCTGATGTGTATTTTTGTCTTTGGACCAGAACTCTAGAACATAAATTTTATGATTATAATGTATGAAGTACTATTTTGTTGTTATCTTTTAATTATTTTCTATCATCATGTGTTCATTTTCTGATTGAAATAAATTGTTTTTGGAATTGGCTGTTGTGAAATGTGGTTATTAGTAAGATAATTTGGTTATATAGTTTTAAACATACGATGATTTTCATTTGAATATTGTGTTCTTCATGTGAAATTTCTTTCAACTGACCAGTGTGATAAGGAAATTACTTTCACATTTAATCTACATGTATTTGATTTGTTTCTATTTAACACGTGTGTTGTGGAATACAATTTTCATGTAAAAATTAAAATACAAAAATGAAATAGACATGAAATATCGCATTTTTGTTTGTTTATTGAAGTTAGATGTGCGGATAAGCCAAGTATCCACACCACCGGATGATGAAGTCTCGCACAAGCCACATGTAGACGCATCAGCTGTCTTTTCGTCAAGTTTTCATTGCCTTATACAATACGTAGCCATTGGCTGATTATCATAATGAACATTCATGATCAGCAAAATTGTTCAAGCTCGCGCGTATAATGCCGAATGGGAAAACGACGTTATAAAATACCCCTTTTGGTTCAAAATATATAACAGAACATTGACAGTTGTTGTACAGCCATATTATTTCACCCCTTGCTGTTTTGTGCTTTTTCAAAATTTCAAGTTCGTTTACGCGGAATGGTGTAACTCACTGACGAAAGGCTCAGTACACAAACTCTGCGTAATGGTACAGATACAGCTAATTAAATGTAAGGATACACCCCTTTATTAAAATACCCACAGACACCTGTGCTAAATGCCCATACTTCAAAATTCTTTTAAAAATACTCGGAACTCTCACTGATCAACATGTCATCTTTCATTTTCTTAAAATTTTCGATGGGTTGACCATTGACTTTGAAGAGAAATTCTCACCCTAAGAAGACGACCCCTATTTTTCCCAAAGCGGGAAAGTAGCCATCATGGAAAACGATCCCTTCACAACATGGCAAAATAGCTGATTTAGTTTTCCTCAGAAATAAAATGTGACTGCTACATTTTGGTTTTAGACACCTTCTACATGTATATTGAAAAATTATTGGACAAGAGGTTGGAACTTAATTTTTATCGGCGAAAGAGGGCGCTGTGCCGGGCAATCTTGGTCTTTTTTCTGCGCATACCATGCTTTAACATGATTCGGGTGGAATAATGACAATTGTATAAGGGAAAACATTAAACGTTTCAACCCATCAATCAAAAATGTCATAGAAAAATCTCCTTTATGCACTGCAAACTGAAATTCAGACAACAGAAAGAAAAAAACGAAACACACAAAATAAGGTGTTATAAACCATGTTGACACAAACTTTGTAAGTACGCATTTGTACAAATGTCAATGGCAACATTTAGGTATACCATTCATACACGTACATGTAGTACTTTTCTTTATTGATTTGTATAGTGTGCTTTACATATTCATTGGAATTATCCAAGTTTTTCCCCAAATATCAAGGAATACAAGAAACTGCATTCGTGTCTAATTCACTGGAATATTTTGAGCGCAACTATCTATGCCAGTTCTTAAAAAAAGTTTACGCATTTTACAATTTTATTTTACATTTTCATCTGTGCTATATATTACACATTTTCGCTTTACTATAAATTCCACGTGGCGCTGTTTACATGGCGTTTGATTGTAATATTAATATGACTTTTAATATTCAACTACGATTGTGTACACCTTACTGGATTACAAAGCAAAACTAAACAGAAACACATTGACTATTTACCTTGCATGGTGACTTCAGTGCACATGATACAGCACACAGGTTCCGTCTTTCCCAATGTAAACCATTAAACTGATTTATTAATATTTACAATCTTGCTTCTATTTTTTTTTAACAATTGATTAACACATTTGAAAACATAACGTCGTAATTTTGTTTTAATATACAGCAAGACAACGCGGTTCCTTGTACCAGGCCACTTTAGTAAATAATCTCGTTTATCAGAACTAGCTGCAGAAATATTCATGCTGGTTGCACAGTTGCGACACGAGCGATTTTGTAAGAATTCTGTGTAAAACGTGCAATTTATGTTGCAGTCCGAAAATTTGTGTAGAAGTTACAATGTGGTAAATTGGCGAAAATAGTTTTCGCAACCAATTTTACGTGCATGTTGTAAGGAAAACTAGAAATAATATTCACTGGAAAACACATTTAAACAGCGCTTAGTATTTTTCATGACAGGAGTGATTAAGAATTTTGCGTTGTACATTTTTCAGTGTACATGTCTTATAAAGATGACCACAGTACTCTTACTGAAAATAATAATTAATAATAAAAACAACGTTTTTACCAATGTTTTGTATGTCTCGGTCTCGAAGCGTGTCGTGGTTAATTACTCTTGGGTATTGCGACGTAGATGATGACCCCAAAGAGGGCCAAGAGGACAAGAACGCAGATGAAGATGATGAACTTCTTACGCCGAGCCTTGCTCTGTCAGGGAAGGAATCCAGAAGAGGGGAAAAACAAAATGAGACGGGAAAGTTGGCAAAAGCCTGCGGGACCTTGCTGCATGGGTCTGTTAACACCAGTGCATCAACAGCCAATTCTGCGACCATGCGAGCTGGTCCTGTATCGAACAATACCACAGTTGTATCCTGCTGCAGTTGGCACCCACAGACTCTGAGGTAGTTTGGCCTCGGGATTTTGAACCGATGGATCCTGTTTAGATTGGACAGGCTTTTCACTTTGTAAAGTGCCGCATGTTGTTGCATAGGATAGGTTTCTAGCCAAAATACCCTGATGGGCAAACATTACAGAAGCAATATCACAGAATTACACAATTAAGAAGCCATTTGGAATGAAAAATGGTGGTGTTGATTACGTTTTATATGCTCAACACAAATAAAGTTGGATGATATGCATAGAAAGGTAGCTCAAACATTTCCCAACAAAACCCTGTTAAGAGAGCTTGTAACTTCAGTTTAAGTTTGATGGAATTTTGTTGAGAAAATGCAGCATTGTTTCTAGCTTGGATAATTTACAGAGGAGAGGAATTGTGTCAAAGAATCCTGCACTTGTGTTCTTGAAAGCAAAAGCAAGCTGAAGCTGTCCGAGCTAATTGATGCGTCAAAGAATCATGCGTGATTGTTATGAAGCAGAAAGCATGCAAGCAATATTGAAGCACTCTGGAATATATACTTACCCCCTAGTCATTCTAAAAATTCAGGATCCAATGTGTGACATCTTTCTAGTCCCTGTCACATTGGTACTTTGTAACTTTGCTAATCAAGTATCTTGGAGGACGATTGCATTAATGGTAGGGCAGATCATTTGTCAGTTGTGCATTTTTACAAAAGTACTCAAAATCTAAAGACGGGTGCTTTAACAACTAACACGATGCCTTTTAGCTCTATGAATACTGCAGAAAAAAACAATATTCGAGGATCTCGATTTCAATTGAAAGGTTACCGAGTCATGCTTTTAATTGCGCCCGGAATCAGCGTCCGGGACTCGTTCTCATTCAGCCGATTGCAGCTATGCGTTGAATAATAGCAACCGCTACCGCGCGTACATCATGTCAACGCTTGCAATGCACCCATTCAGGGATTCGCCGAATTACAAACCAACTACTAACGGAAATTACCAAAAACGTATCTTTTGACGCATTTTTTGCGATGTCAGACGCAACACAGACAGGGAAAATAGTGGACCCCAAATTTATAGAATGACCAATAGGTATTTCATATACATTGTACCTATAAGCCATACACATAAAAACTGTACTGTATTATACTACGACCCACAGGCTTAGGTTCTAACTCACAACCATCCTTGTCAAAAAGTACCCAACAGAAACGCCAGCAGCTAGACAGAGAATGACAAATCTGGGTCTTACCTGATATGTCTTGGCTTTCGCTAGCTGCGTGTTGGCTTCCTTAACGTGAACCTCGGTCGTTTCCACATTTTCCTCTATGCTATCTGCATGATTGACGAGGAGTCGTTAAAATGTACCAAGTTAAGTTTTGAAGATCACACATCAAACTTAAGTACAAAATGAGCATTTCTGTTCATCAATTAGAAGATTGTGCATCCCCCAAAAAACTTCCACATTGGCAATCCCAGCGTCACGGACATTACATTCCAAATCAGACAGTTTTTGATACTTCAGGCGCTCAGTAAACCTTTCATATCTTATACATCTATCATTTTAAAGTATTGGTCAAGGAGACTAGGACTTTTGGATCATCTCTCTGAATCAATAATTAGCTTTCAAGGTATTAATTGGTTCGTACTGGACATACTTTTCTTCACAGGGCGGCGTGAAAACGCACCGTTGGCCTGTACTCGCTATGTTGGTAGTTGGGTGGGTGGGTGGGTGGGTGGGTTAGTGGACAGTTTACTTGGCCCCAGGGTGACCGTACGGTTATGGCAAAATTCTGCTAAATGCACTTTAAAAATCTGTCAGATTTATCAAAAATCTGCCAAATTTCCCAAATTTTATAGTAACAATTTAAAACCACGTTACAAAGTACTCTGTGTTATTGACTTTGAGACAGCGCCATTTAGATTTTTTTGGCGTAAAGGGTGCAAATGTGACTCGTCGCTAATCCAAGGGCTAGACGCTGTACTTGCTTGATACGCGATAACCCGCCGCCGCAATAACCGGAAACTGCAAGAGGGTGCTATCACGACCAACCAATATCGCCCACGAACCTGTCAGAACAACCCGCTCGTGGGCGATATTGGTTGGTCGTGATGGCGCCCTCTCGCGGTGGCCGGTTATTGCGGTGGCGGGTTATCGCGTATCAAGCAAGAACAACGTCTAGCCCCTGGACTACTCGTCGCTGTGCAAATGTAACTCGTCCAACCTTATTTTCTATTACTGCATTGATTGGATCGTGAAAACAAAGCGACGTATTTTTTGGGGGGCAGCCATTTTTTTTCACTCATTGGATGCTCTCAAAGTTCCGTAACCCGTCTTAACGCGTTACCCACCCGTGGGCCACTTTGTACTTTGTAATGTCCATGACAGAGCAAATACGCTGGCATGTTTGGAATTTTTGAAACCTTTATCCTCCGATGTTTCGCTTACCGATCGAGTCTCCTTGCTCCTCAACCATCGTTGCCAGTTCTTTGAAGATAGTGTTCACGTCGGAGATGTCCGACTGTTGAGATACAATATGAAGGCAATAAGTAACATCGGCCACAAGTACACATAATTTGATAAATCAAGGTATTTAGTTTCCTTTTTGTGCATTTTTTTCCCGCTTGAAGCAACAAAATTGCACGAATAGGCCTAAGCCAGTTCGGTATTCCGATTGCACATATGCACATCAAGATTTGCCGATTTTCCTTTCGGGATAAAAAGTACCAGTCCTAGCTTCACTTTGAGTAAGGATTTTCTTGTGGAATTTTCTTGTAGCTATGTTCCTGGATAATTGAAATGCTCCCAAGTGCCATCCACCTCAATCCTCCAAAATCCTCTTGGCGGTTTGGAGGATTGAGGATGAATGGTATTTGAAAAGGAGGATGATTTTGGAGGATTGAAGACGAATGCATTTTTGAGGCAGGACTGTCTGACGGTTTTGAAGGATTGAGGATGATTCCTAGCAAAAAGGCCGAGGAAGTTAGGGAGAACGTTGGTTGTGGTTACAGTCTGTGCCAGTTTCTGTGAGCAGCAGGGGTGGGGTGCAGAAAAGGGGGCCAGCGGTTAATTAAGGCGAGGGGAGAGGAGAGGTAATGGGAGGGGTGGTGTGGGGCTGGGGGATATGCCTACCTCAAGTTTGTGGAGTTGGGCTTCTCTTTCCTTCAGGGCTTCGAAGTCCACCTGTTGGATTTGGCTATGGAAACCACTACTGCAGAGAATCAGTGAGAAATGCATTCAACCCAGACTGAACTATTACAGTATCAAAGTATTCAACTATCGAAAATCTGTTGATTAAAAAAATCTTGCTTTGTTGTTACGTTGAAGAGCAAGATTTGATTACAAATTTCAAAACCAGATGATGAGTATTTATTATAAAGCTTCCAAAGGGGAAAGACTCCAGTGATGTCAGAGTTTCCATCAATAAAAGATGTTTTTCAAAACATTGCTGGATAAAGTAAAACAATTCTCCACCCCTCAAAACAACAACAATATGATTTTATCATCTCACCCTTCCATATTGAGGGGAGCATTGGGTCCTTCATCATAATCGTCCTGCAAAGGAAAATAGTTTGAAAGAAACAAAATGTTAAAAATCGTTGCATCTGTTGTGCTTTGTCTTCCGTCTCTTTTCTGGAGCAGCCTTGAACCCTTTAACCAGGCAGCCTCATACATATGCCAGGGATGTCAAGTCAAGTCAAGTAATCTTTATTTTATCCCACAATGGTAATTTGAAACGCTCGCATACAATAAAAACATTGAAACAATATAGAAACAGTTACATATACAATAACACGAACAATCAAAACGTTTAAAATAACCTTATGCTATATTTAAAATAAATGTAAACTTAAATAATAAGCATATTCAAATGATACTTGCTGTCTAGTCCATCCTGATACAATTTAATATTTACGTTGGAACATCAGATTGTGATGTTTTATTGCATTAGGAATGAAGGAGGATGGGTGTCGGTTTGTCGCAGCATACTGTACCCGCATACGACCAGACCTTGGGATCAGCTGTTCAGCAAGCCTGTCATGAAGTGGGTGATTTTTGTCATTCAGTAGCATAGTGAGCTTGCCGATCACCAAATCCTCATATGCTGTGTCCACTAACGGCCTCGACCCCCCAAGAATCCTTCCTGCTTCTTTACAATTCTATCTATGCAGTCTTTTTCATATTTCCCAACATTTCCTCCCCAACAAATCAGAAAGCACCCCAAAACACTAGTAACCACTGCGTCGTAAGAAGTTTCCAGAATTACGATCAGCATGGAATGCATTTAGTTTTCTGGATGTCAGACGCGACTTGCATAATAAAGACAAAGCAATTAGAGGGGTATTTTTTTTAAATGGGTACTGACCGCATATTCTGAGTTGCCCCTGACTCGCTTGATCTCCTCGCGTTTCTTCTGGGCTGCCTCTCGTTGGGCTCTCTGGAACTGATTCAGCGCCGCCGAAAAATCGCTGGTGAATCGCTCCTTCTGCATCCTCTGCTGCCTCTAAACAGAGAGAACAGGATACTAATTATTGTTAGGCAGGGTATTGGCGGCAATGGCTGCCGCGCCAACTATCCTGGGAAAATGGCTTTGCCGCCTCGCCCGCTACGCCGCCTCGTCCACTATGTGGGAAGGTGGCTTTGTCGCCTCGTCCACTATGTGGGAAGGTAGTTTGCCGCCACGCCCGCTACGCTGGGAAGGTCGCTTTGCCGCTTCGCCCGCTACGCAAGAGAGATGGAATGAGCTGCCTTGTCTGCTTCACGAGGAACCTGGAGGTGATGATTCACATGTGTCAATGACTTCAGTAACCCACTGGAAATTTGCATCACTAAATAGAACACTTCTGATTATTTCTGTTGATATGGAACTCAGCTTGAGTGGGTATGATAACTGGTGCTTACCTGGTCTGATTGGGATACGGAAGCCGGGGCATTGTTGAGGTCCTTCAGCATTCGGTTTGTATCCTTGGCTAATTGATTGGTGTAGTGCTGGACTTCATCACTAATGACAAAAAATAAACCAATGAAAATAGAGTACTAAACGTTGATATAATGAACATTATCACTGTACCGAACATTTGGCTGTAACAAACATTCCCTGTCACTTCAGAACTTTGTGTACAAATATACTGTCAACTTGAGGCCAATAATTGCTATTTCAAATGACCACTAAACAATATTTATGAACCCAATTGCTTTGTTATATAGTGAATTTCTGCTGTACTTATAAAAGGGAGGGAGAATCTCAATGTTTGTTTGATTGCAATACCTGAGAAGGGGAAACTATGTTCATTCCAAAGAATAAGTATTATTTTAACATTAAGTTTCAATTAATGTGGATGAAGCACTAACAGTTTTGATCTGAGAGTACTGTTGTCGTCGGGCGTTCCCAGCCTAGGGATGATCCGCTCAATTTCTTTCACTGTGGAAGTAAAACATCAAGATATGTGATAATACATACGCAGAAATTTGTGACTGGTGAAAGATGGTCAAGGGTTTGAATCCAGTTGTTTACCATGAGCTATGTATTTTCACTTCCCCTTTTCAACAGATTTATATATTGGACAATGAACAGGACTGACTTACCATTCTGGGAGATTTTCGGTATGTTGGAACGTATGCCTTGCATCAGTCTGTTCTGATCTGCTGCGGAGCTGTTCCGCCCTGTGGAAAAATAATGGCAATGATATCAGAATTCAAATACTCAATGAACTACTCGGCTGAGTCCAGTAAAAGTATTTGCATCAGATTAGCTGGTTCAGAGTCATAAGCTTCGTTGTCTTACAATTTTTGTCCAATGAAGTAAAACTACATAGTCTCATCGCCCCACTTAAGAGTACAAAATATGGGGAGTCAGCTTGACGTCACGGTACTTTCCTCGCCTTCCACTGCTGTGACCAGGTTCGAATCTCGTCTTGGCCAACAATGGATGAGGTTTTGGGGTTTCGGTTTTCTGATTCCATTTGTTTTCCCCAGAATATTCTTCTGGGGTTTCCTCCCACCTCTTAAACTGTAACTTCTTCTCACTGTCTTCTCTGCACACTCAGGCTTGTGAGCTACAGTGACTACAAGGGCGGATCCAGAGGGGGGCCAAAGGGGGCCATGCCCCCCCCCCAAAAAAAAACGAGACCAATTTTTTTTATTTTTTTATGTGACATCGCAATAAAGGCAGGCAATGAGTACACCACCATCTTTTCCTCAAAAAAACATTGGTTAAAGTGGTCAGAAATTGCCTCAGATCGCACCACAGAGCATCTAGAATCCAAACATTTTTCGGGGCCCTTAAGCGGGCCCCGAACCCCACGCCGTAATTTTTTTGACCCACTTTTTGGGGGGTCCAAAATGTTTTTTGGCCCCCCCCGCAAAAAAAAACTGTGTTCTGGATCCGCCCTTGAGTGACTAGGGCGCTTTTGAGGAATCTTTGGCTTGATTACTAGAAATAAATAAATAAATAAATGAATAATATTATTAACAATAATAATAATAATAAAGATTAAGTTCAATTTTTGCCTGAACATTAAATCCACCACTGAGAGTCCTTAGCAAGTGCGAGTTGGTATCAGTCTCCCCGTTATTTAGTTTTATAAACGCAGTTATTTATTATAATTTTGAATTATTTTGAAAGAACTGTAATTTGCTGAATTACACGTACCTCCAGAGCCAGAGTTGTATGTGGAGTAACCCTCATCGCTATAAGCACCACCTCCCGTCCCTCCAAAGTCTCCATGGCCAAACGACATCTTAATGTTCTGTTATGGATTATTTATGGATTCTGTTACATTATATTTAAAATAAATGTAAACTTAAATAAGAAGCATATATAAATGATACTTGCTGTCTAGTCCCTCCTGATACAATTTAATATTAACGTTGGAAAATAAGATTGTGATTGTTTATTGCACGATGTTACATCGAGGAAGGATAAGTAACTGCCAACATTTACAAGTTGATTGAAACAGCATCTTCTTTGCTGAATAAACAAACAACGAAACAAAAACAATGACATATATGGACTTGTACACCAGGTGGCTTCAATTGTATGAGTAAACCATTTCGAAAAGGTTTAACGTAAAAAGAGAAAAAGACAACAGCCATTGGTCAGGTTTGTTATGAACAATATGATCATAATGCCGAGCTGCCAAGTAACAAAAATATACCAGTTTCTCGTCCCGGGCCGCTTCCTTTTTATTTGTTTCAAACAAATTTAAAGTCATTTATTATAGAAAGGGCATGAAGGGTTAAGGCTCCTTTGGACAAAATTTTCTATAGGCAAAGAGTCCAGAAAGTGGAGACAAAAAAAAAAAACATCTTGGGGAAATAAAAACCGCCCGCCTCCTTCATTTAAAGAAAAGTTTGGACGAACACTTTTTTTTTTAACTCGGCCTACTGACATGGAACATTTTCAAACGTTATTTTTCGCTCTAAAATTATCAATTAAACATGTCAAACCTGTCTTGACCAATAATTATAATTGATAATTAGTAATTTATAGCATACTTTTTAAATGTAATAATAGTTTCATAATCATCATCAGACAAGACCAAGAAAAGCAAAAATAGAACATCCATTTGAAAAGAGACATAGTGAGAATAGAGAACAGAGAAGTAAAGAGGAACAATTTTTTTCCGTAATTATTGTTTGTTAAACAGTTACACCACTAGACCTTTGTTTAGACCTGTAAACATGGCTTAATATACATAACCACGCTATGTTCATATCTCTGGACTTTCGACATGTTTGAAATCCCGGATAAAGACCGTCTATTTACAGTCCCGAAATCAAACGAGCACTGCGTGTTCAGTACTTACATAAAAGGTTATCCAAGAACTTCCAGTGGCAAAGGATCTGCCGTTCCAAAGAAATTTGAGGGGAAAATGCAGCACAACAGCAACACAAACATTAGTTAGAAGTTTCAAAGTCCAGAGTCATGAACGGAGCGTAGCTATTACAAAAAAGTACTATTAACTACAGCCACTATTACGGGTCTACCATGTCTACCCTTTAATGACCACACACAATCATTTATCAACTTCAAATAAAAAATATAAGAAACAGAGGCGGATATGAATCCTTCAGTGTACAGGTTACAAAGTGATCAACAAACCAATGAGTGTGAGTCATGCTGGCAACTACATGCTAAAATTATGTACACATTAATTACTGTGTGGTTTTTCCATTAAATATCCTTTGCAAGTACATTTACGATTCGGCTACGTATGTGGCCAAGGAAAATGGTTTATGCGCCAAAAGGCTCGTGATAAATCGAGAAAAACTCACCGAAAGTGGGCGGGCGTTCAGTCATTATCGTCCTCTTCCATTTGTTTTGTTGTATACGTAGGCCTACGACACATGATTTGGGGTTTGTCAATCTTTAACATTAACAATAGAGGGCCCTTCCTATCGCTTTTGAACTCTTGACGGCGTATTATAAACCGACAGAAAAGTGGACAAGTGAAACTTGGAAACTTGAATTTGTTAGCGAAATTTTTCTACGAGTTTTTTGCAGGAACCTGTAAAAAAAAAAAAAAAAGTTTAAAACGTAGAAATGTAAGAAAGAACACAATATGTATTTTTATCCTGCTATAAATGCAAAGAAAACAGTGATTATTTTAATGTGTTCCTTTCTCCAAGCCGTTTCGCGGATACCGTCATCTTGCTTGAAATCGTGATTGCGCAATGGCTCAGGGGGCACACGTGACCCACACTGAAAATCCGTAACGTGAATGGTATGGTGAGGTCAGAACTGCTCTAAAAAAAACTCTCTTTTTTTCATTGAAAGAACACAATTTTGGGTACAGAGTTTTACAAACTGATAAATGGGACATTGAACTGTCCATGGGTGAAAAAAACATTTATAAAATATTACATGCAAAGGCAGCCATTAAGCTCGAAAAGTGAAAATTTATCGCGATAAAAGTAGTCACGTGACCGCGCGTGCAATGAACGCTGCGGAAATGTTCGGTATCGCACAAACGATCCGGACATGAGGAGAGCCCGGAGCGTCAGTGCGACACTAAATTTTCGGCAATGTGCGTGGTCACGTGACTACTGTTTGCGAAAAAAAATGTCCCTTATCGAGCTTGGTGCCGTTGCATGTGACATCTTTTAAATATTTTTTTTCACCTATGGACAGGTCGATGTCCTATTTATCAGTTTGTAAAACTCTCCGAAATTGTGTTCTTTTCATGGAAAAAAGTTCAGAAGAGGTCTGACCTCCCCATGCCTTTTACGCTACCGATTTTCAGTGTGGGTCACGTGTGCCCCCCCCCCAGCCATTGCGCAATCATGATTTCAAGCAAGATGGCGGTATCCGCAAAAAAGGCTTATGCCGAATTATCACAATTCAGAACTGCCGAAGTTAATTCAAGCATGAAGAAAGTTCATGATTCAAGCCAGGCCCGTCGCCAAGGGGATGGGGCGGGGGCTTGTGGGGCCGGGCCCCCCTTGGCGAGCAATTGCCCCCCATAGGCAAAAGCCATACATATGTATTTTTGTATTTTATGATAGTGCCCCCCTAGTTGGTACTGTGGCCCCTCCCCCCCCCCCCCGACGCTCAGGGCTTGCGACGGGACTGATTCAAGCACTCTACCTCCATGATTCAAGACATAAAGCCTTCAGCTCGGTCGATTAACGGCGGCCATCCCGCCCGGTTTTAAATAAACTACATGTTTACAATTACTCCATCGGTATTATGACGCATATGTTATGTCTTACTCGAGCAGAAAATGAGAAAGGGATCCTCCCATTAATGTTGCTGTGCCTGGGCCATGGTGGGCGTTGGTGCTGTGCTCCTGCTAGTGGGCGTGGTCCTGTTTGTCTTGGGCGTGGTTCCTGGAAGCATGGCGGGGGATGTTGTGAAATGGCCTGGTGCCGTTTGCGGAGGTAGGTATGTGGTGCGGGATGGTGGGGGCGGAGTTATACTGGTGAGGGGTGGGTGTCAAAAGTTGTGATTTATGAGGTTTGTTACAAGGATGTAGTCGAGTCCGTGCTGTTTGAGTGTATGTAACCAAACTGAAAAATGCAGAACAAGCTTATAAGTTATATTGTGTCTCAGTGATAGGTTTTATTTCAAATATCTGAAATTTCACTTTCAACTTTTGTTCCAATCAGTTCTTGGCATTGTGCTCCTTGTTGCATCTGTGGCTGTATACATCAGTGCTTCAAGGACCAAAGACACTGAGAATTATTCAGGTAAATTAAAAATGTAATTATTGTGTCATTAATTTTATCATTTCATAAAAGTGTGTAACTTAACCAACTGACTAAACTTGTACAAATTGACAAACTTAGCAAATACTTTACTGCAAAATTAACTCTGCAGTGACTAATGAAGAATCTACAGTAAGCAAGAATTGTCGGAGTGACCGCCCACGTAGCATTATAAGAGAGCCCTCCCTCAAACCCAGGGGAGGTTGCGTCAAGGCAACGCCAGGAGGGTACACCAGCTTCCTGTACAGTCCTAACTACAAGGGGGAGGAGCCAACAGGTGATTAAACCCCTCCTCTACCTGCCTCAGGCCCCGCCCCTGGCTACACCCCTTTCCCAAGGCAGGTTTGTCACTTGCAATATTCTATTTTTGTAATGTATTCTGAAATGTCTTTCAACACCTGATGTGTATTTTTGTTTTTAGACCAGAACTCTAGAACATAAAAATTTTATGATTATAATGTATGAAGTACTATTTTGTTGTTTTTAACCGAAACAATTTTGTTTTATCTTTTAATTATTTTCCATCATCATGTGTGCATTTTCTGATTGAAATAAATTGTTTTTGGAATTGGCTGTTGTGAAATGTGGTTATTAGTAAGATAATTTGGTTATATAGTTTCAAACATACGATGATTTTCATTTGAATATTGTGTTCTTTATGGGAAATTTCTTTCAACTGACCAGTGTGATACGGACATTACTTTCACATTTAATCTATTTGGTTTGTTTCTATTTAACACGTGTGTTGTGGAATACAATGTTCATGTAAAAATTAAAGTACAAAAATGAAATAGACATGAAATATCGCATTTTTGTCTGTTTGTTTATTGAAGTTTGATGTACCAATAAGCCAAGTATCCACACCACCAGATGATGAAGTCTCTCACAAGACACATGTAGACGCATCAGCTGTCTTTTCGTCAAGTTTTCATTGCCTTATACAATACGTAGCCATTAGCGGGATTATGAACATACATGATCAGCGAAATTGTTCAAGCTCGCGCGTATAATGCCGAATGGGAAAACGACGTTATAAAATACCCCTTTTTGTTCAAAATATATAACAGAACATTGACAGTTGTTGTACAGCCATATTATTTCACCCCTTGCTGTTTTGTGCTTTTTCAAAATTTCAAGTTCATTTACGCGGAATAGTGTAACTCACTGACGAAAGGCTCAGTACACAAACTCTGCGTAATGGTACAGATACAGCTAATTAAATGTAAGGATACACCCCTTTATTAAAATACCCACATACACCTGTGCTAAATGCCCATACTTCAAAATTCTTTTAAAAATACTCGGAACTCTCACTGATCAACATGTCATCTTTCATTTTCTTAAAATTTTCGGTGGGTTGACCATTGACTTTGACGAGAAATTCTCACCCAAAGAAGACGACCCCTATTTTTCCCAAAGCGGAAAAGTAGCCATCATGAAAAACGATCCCTCCACAACATGGCAAAATAGCTGATTTAGTTTTCCTCAGAAATAAAATGTGACTGCTACATTTTGGTTTTAGACACCTTCTACATGTTAATTGAAAATTATAGGAAAGGAGGTTGGAACTTAGTTTTTATCGGCGAAGAGGGCGCTGTGCTGGGCAATCTTGGCTTTTTTTTCTGCGCATACCATGCTTTAACATGATTCGGGTGGAATAATGACAATTGTATAAGGGAAAGCATTAAACGTTTCAACCCATCAATCAAAAATGTCATAGAAAAATCTCCTTTATGCACTGCAAACTGAAATTCAGACAACAGAAAGAAAAAACACGAAACACACAAAATAAGGTGTTATAAACCAAGTTGACACAAACTTTGTAAGTACGCATTTGTACAAATGTCAATGACAACATTTAGGTATACCATTCATACACGTACATGTAGTACATTTTTTAATGATTTGTATAGTGTGCTTTACATATACATTGGAATTATCAAAGTTTTTCCCCAAATATCAAGGAATACAAGAAACTGCATTCGTGTCTAATTCACTGAAATATTTTGAGCGCAACTATCTATGCCAGTTCTTAAAAAAAAATTACGCTTTTTACAATTTTATTTTACATTTTCATCTTTGCTATATATTACACATTTTCGCTTTACTATAAATTCCACGTGGCGCTGTTTACATGGCGTTTGATTGTAATATTAATATGACTTTTAATATTCAACTACGATTATGTACACCTTACTGGATTACAAAGCAAAACTAAACAGAAACATTGACTATTTACCTTGCATGGTGACTTCAGTGCACATGATACAGTACACAAGTCCTGTCTTTCCCAATGTAAACCATTGAACTGATTTATTAATATTTACAATGTTGCTTCTATTTTTTTTAACATATGATTAACATATTTGAAAACATAACGTCACATATTTTGTTTTCATGTACAGCAAGACCTTAAAAAAACAGTACGGTTTATAACGAGGTTCCTTGAACCAGGCCATTTTAGTAAATAATCTTGTTCATCAGAACTAGCTGTAAAAAATATTGATGCCAGTTGCACAGTTGCGACACGAGCGATTTTGTAAGAATTCTGTGTAAAACGTGCAATTTATGTTGCTGTCCGAAAATTTGTGTAGAAGTTACAATGTGGTAAATTGGCGACAATAGTTTTCGCAACCAATTTTACGTGCATGTTGTAAGGAAAACTAGAAATAATATTCACTGGAAAACACATTTAAACAGCGCTTAGTATTTTTCATGACAGGAGTGATTAAGAATTTTGCGTTGTACATTTTTCAGTGTACATGTCTTATAAAGATGACCACAGTACTCTTACTGAAAATAATAATTAATAATAAAAACAACGTTTTTACCAATGTTTGTGTATCGGTCTCGAAGCGTGTCGTGGTTAATTACTCTTGGGTATTGCGACGTAGATGATGACCCCAAGAACGGCCAAGAAGACAACACAGCAGATGCAGATGATGAACTTCTTACGCCGAGCCTTGCTCTGTCAGGGAAGGAATCCAGAAGAGGGAGAAGAAACAAATGAGACGGGAAAGTTGCCAAAAGCCTGTGGGACCTCCTTGCATTGGGCCGTTAACACCAGTGTACCAACAGACAAGGAGTGTTGGTCCTATCAAACAATGCCGCATCACAGTTGTACCTGCTGCAGTCGGCACCCACAGACTCTGAGGTAGTTTGGCCTCAGGATTTTGAACTGATGGATCCTGTTAGATCGGACAGGCTTTTCACTTTGTAAAGTGCCGCATGTTGTTGCATAGGATAGGTTTCTAGCCAAAATACCCTGATGGGCAAACATTACAGAAGCAATTACACAGAATTACACAATTAAGAAGCCATTTGGAATGAAAAATGGTGGTGTTGATTACGTTTTATATGCTCAACACAAATAAAGTTGGATGATATGCATAGAAAGGTAGCTCAAACATTTCCCAACAAAACCCTGTTAAGAGAGCTTGTAACTTCAGTTTAACCCTAAAGGGGCCGGGTTATTTTGACCATCTCTCAGCCGGGGGGGGGGGGGGGGGGGGGATTCCGCCTCCCCCTAAGATCTCGGCCATCGAGTGACGAAAAATTTTGAAACTCGGCACATGCATAGAGCAACTCTTCCTAAACATACCCAAGAAATTTCATGACTATAGGTCAAAGGGTTTTGGAATTATGGCTAATTAATTATTCATATGTACGAAAGGCAATTCTGCTCTGTGTACACGACGTATATGCGAAAATTCAGTTTTCACGGAAAATTTTTCGCTACGCGGCAACCCGTGGTCCGATTTTTATGTTTTTGGTATCAAAAGATGCGCAAAGCTCGAGGCTAAAAAGTCATAACAGCTCGGGTGGCGAAATTTTTGTTTTAGAGGCTATGACGAAAAATGTTGAGGGGGGGGGGGCGGATTCCGCCCCCGCCCCTTTAGGGTTAAGTTTGATGGAATTTTGTTGAGAAAATGCAGCATTGTTTCTAGCTTGGATAATTTACAGAGGAGAGGAATTGTCTCAAAGAATCCTGCACTTGTGTTCTTGAAAGCAAAAGCAAGCTGTCCGAGCTAATGGATGCGTCAAAGAATCATGCGTGATTGTTATGAAGCAGAAAGCATGCAAGCAATATTGAAGCACTCTGTATGCAACTTAATATACTAGTCATTTTAAAAATTTCAGGATCCAATGTGTGACATCTTTCTAGTCCCTGTCACATTGGTACTTTGTAATTTTGCTAATCAAGTATCTTGGAGGACGATTGCATTAATGGTAGGGTAGATCATTTGTCATTTGTGCATTTTTACAAAAGTACTCAAAATCTAAAGACGGGTGCTTTAACAACTAACACGATGCCTTTTAGCTCTATGAATACTGCAGAAAAAAACAATATTCGAGGATCTCGATTTCAATTGAAAGGTTACCGAGTCATGCTTTTAATTGCGCCCGGAATCAGCGTCCGGGACTCGTTCTCATTCAGCCGATTGCATGCAGCTATGCGTCGAATAATAGCAACCGCTACCGCGCGTGCATCATGTCAACGCTTGCAATGCACCCATTCAGGGATTCGCCGAATTACAAACCAACTACTAACGGAAATTACCAAAAAACGCATCTTTTGACGCATTTTGCGATGTCAGACGCAACACAGACAGGGAAAATAGTGGACCCCGAATTTATAGAATGACCAATAGGTATTTCATATACATTGTACCTATAAGCCATACACATAAAAACTGCACTGTATTATACTACAACCCACAGGCTAAGGTTCTAACTCACAACCAGCCTTGTCAAAAAGTACCCAACAGAAACGCCAGCAGCTAGACAGAGAATGACAAATCTGGGTCTTACCTGATATGTCTTGGCTTTCGCTAGCTGCGTGTTGGCTTCCTTAACGTGAACCTCGGTCGTTTCCACATTTTCCTCTATGCTATCTGCATGATTGACGAGGAGTCGTTAAAATGTACCAAGTTAAGTTTTGAAGATCACACATCAAACTTAAGTACAAAATGAGCATTTCTGTTCATCAATTAGAAGATTGTGCATCCCCGAAAAAAACGTCCACATTGGCAATCCCAGCGTCACGGACATTACATTCCAAATCAGACAGTTTTTGATACTTCAGGCGCTCAGTAAACCTTTCAAATCTGATACATCTATCATTTTAAAGTATTGGTCAAGGAGACTAGGACTTTTGGATCATCTCTCTGAATCAATAATTAGCTTTCAAGGTATTAATTGGTTCGTACTGGACATACTTTTCTTCACAGGGCGGCGTGAAAACGCGCCGTTGGCCTGTGCTCGCTATGTTGGTAGTTGGGTGGGTGGGTGGGTGGGTTAGTGGACAGTTTACTCGGCCCCAGGGTGACCGTACGGTTATGGCAAAATTCTGCTAAATGCACTTTAAAAATCTGTCAGATTTATCAAAAATCTGCCAAATTCCCCAAATTTTATAGTAACAATTTAAAAACACGTTACAAAGTACTCTGTGTTATTGACTTTGAGACAGCGCCATTTAGATTTTTTTGGCGTAAAGGGTGCAAATGTGACTCGTCGCTAATCCAGGGGCTAGACGCTGTACTTGTTTGATACGCTATAACCCGCCGCCGCAATAACCGGAAACTGCGAGAGGGCGCTATCACGACCAACCAATATCGCCCACGAACCTGTCAGAACAACCCGCTCGTGGTAGCAGACCAGTAAATAAACTTCCATAGACCCCAATGGTAAATGCTCCCACTTCAAAAATTCGGGAAAAATACTCACAACTCTCCGAGGTGTTCGAGACACACATCAAATTAAAGCTTATTTCATCATCTTTCATTTTCTTTTCAATTTTCCGGG